AGTCAACAGCGTCGGAATTAAGTATGAAGGTCGATAAGCACATAGACTTTTGCATAACGCATAATGCATAAGAAAATTGATTGATGCATGTACATTTTCTTATGCTTATGCATTATACGTTAGGCAAAAGTGTGTGCCTCGGCCTTAAGCGCGTATAAATATCGCACTATCAATTCGCAAAATAAAGATAGTAGATAAAATAATCATTAAATCAATTGGTCTATAAAAACCTCGCGCATATTGGATAAAAGAATCATAAAATCTAAGGAAAAATCGTAACTACGATATTATTAATTGTTTAACGTGTAAAGTAACATTCACAATAGAAGTTCCCTTTTGAGTAATATTTGTGTCGAATGAATCTTAACGACCGCATTGAAATGCAAATTAACCCCCCTACGCTCTAACTCGTCCAATATCATCCGAAAATGCTGAATCGATCGAAAGGGATAATGAGAAATGTGGCAGCCGAATGTTCATTAGACTTTGTTCCACAATTACAGGAGAAACCTGTCACAGAATGGTCACTGTTTATAGGGCTAAATACGATGCGCCATTATACTTACACGATAGCGTCCGGTTATTAGTGGACATTTATCAAGGAAGCTTATTTCGTACAGCTGATTCCCCAAGATTCGCGGCTGATTTACGGCTCACATAAGCGCAGATCGAATCCATCCATTGCGAAAATGATCGTACACGGAATTCCAAGTACGCGGTATTCTCAGTAGAACCCGCAAACTACGTCTGAAATTCGCATATTAATGGATTTGCCGATAAATATATCTAAGTAAAACATGCTAGCAATAGGTTTTTTTGATAATTTGATTGTTATTTGAATGAGGATACAGACTGAAAAAAAATTTTTATTGTTATCTTACAGTTTATCTATTATTATCTTAAATGTATTTATTTTATATATATTACTGACTTTATATCTTTAAAGCTTGAAATATTAATTTTATTTATTTATATAAATTTTTCAATACATATAATATATAAATTTATTATATAACATATATTCTATTATATAAGGTGGTATCTCGAATATGTAAAATGTTGTCCCCACGTTTCAATGAGGCTGCCTGATATTCGGTGCCGAGAATTCAATTACAGAAAAGACACAGAAGGAGACGTCTGTGAGACGTATCTGTCTTGGCGGCGTTATCCACTCTTGAATATGCAAACGCTGCTCCGTGCGACGTTTAACACGCGAAGAACTCCCCTACGGTCGATCGCACCTAGGCTACAGACGGTCTGCACCGGGTGTACCTAAATGCATGTGCAACTTAGGTACATGTTTCGTGATAGAGTGGGATTTATTCAGCGATAAAGCACCGTAGTATAATGCCCGAGATCCGTGTGAGTATCTTAAAATGAAAGTGCTGGAAGAAATTCCATTTACCGTGTTTCTTCCTATTTATTGTTTTTTTTTACCTATTATTATTTTATATCGCATTAGGTTTAAATATTTCGCCGTTTTAAATTTTAAAATTTTATACAGTTACTAAAATATTTTTTAAATAGTATTCCAATTTTATTGAAATTTATGTCTGTATCTTAATTGGAGAAGAAAAATCAATCAATTTCATTCTCCAACTCAAGAGTATAAAGAGGATACTGTGGAAACGCAGAACATCGGTCTTTGTTTTCATGTCGCAGAATTAATTGTTCTCGTTCCAATGAGAAATAGGAAATTATTATTCAAATTAGGGACCCATGCTGAATATGTCTTATCGACAATACAGTGGGAGGAGAAGACAGTATACATATGGTAATTTACACACTTGCTTACACAGCAAATTAGCATCTGGCTAGACGTACTAAACATGAGCACGTGTAAAGAAATTAACTATTGCTTAGAAATAATTTTTCGAGAGTGACCATTATTTGTCGCTGATTTTCAATATTAAAAATAGCTTTCTCCATATCTTTAAGAAATCCTAAAACATTAAGTTTTATAAAATTCTAAAAAATGTGAAATATTTTGAAAAACTAAAGTGAATCTTATTTATAATTTTATTTATAACAAATGTATAATGAAAGATCTTGCACTGAGATTATTTCGCGATAATGTAATTTACGAAAAAGTTTTTTTGCTCTAATTATTATGATTTCCAATTCAAAAACTCTTAATTATTTAGATATTTTAATCGCAAAAAAATCTTTTTCGAGTTCTTAATAAATCTATAATTAAAATTGATAGTTTTGGAACACACTATACACCGTATGTCTGAGAGATATCTTTCGAGGATGGTGTATGTCGAGGAACTTGCGTGGGAGGAAGGGCGGGTTGTAAAAGTGCTCGTAATCGTTCCGTCTGTATCTAACCGCACACGCGATCCATGGATTAAAATTAACAACCGCTCCGGCATATATTGATTGCACGCTCACCTTGACACCAAGCGGGAGGTTCGTTCCTCCAAGCCGACAACGATGGCCGCACGCGAAGGTTCCGGTGCAGAGAACCTCGGTAATGTTTCCCTCTCTCGACATTGAACCTGCCGTCGTAAATACCGAAATTAGATGTCGCCATCCATTGGAAAATAAGATCGTTGTTTCAACAGTTAACGCGACCTCGCAGTAATCTCTTTGAAATTAACTTATAAGCTAAAATTGAGTTTGAAATTTGAATTGCGGCAATTCTTCAGTAACTCCTCAATTAACTCCAACTTGTTTAATGTATGTTTCGAATTATCTTACACTAAAAAATATGACGAAAGAAATTTACAAATATACTCAAAAAGGTCTGAATTTTTTATTCTTCTAAATTATTTTTTAAGTAAAGTTTATCAAATAAGAAAGACTGATTTAACAAAGAATAGAAAATACACAAACACAATTTAAACACAAATTTAATAAATTAATTAAATAAATGTAATAATAAGATGTGTGTGTGCGTGTGTATGTGTATGCAAGAAAATTTAGATTAAGAATAAGTATTAAACGATAAAATAACATTGCTTTATACAATATTATGTATATTTTACGTTATACAAAAGACATTATAAAATCCTGTCAGTATGTATAAAATGTCGTTATAAATATGTAACGTCTGTACTATCTCTAAAATTCCTTGATCCTCCCTGACAGTTGCACTTAGGGGAGTAATATCATCATTTCACAATGGCGACAAAATATCCCTCGGCCATTCCCCTAGCATGATCGAGTCGATACAGACTCTTATCTCTGAGTATATGGACTATCGACGAATGTCCATTCCAGTCGAAATTGGAAATACTCGTCGAATAAGGAGAAACCCACCGAACCGTAAGAAACAGAACGAGAACCAGAACGACTTTCCTAGTTTCTCGCATGAATACTGACCAAATACTTTTCTATTTCAGGAATAACATGTCTGTATTTTCGACGTTTGTTTTACATATAAAAATAGACATTTTTTATTTTCTGACTGCAGATTTAATTTCAATTTTGCTAAAATAAATACAGAGCGCATCACTTTTTTTTTACATCTACATTTCTCTGAAATGTATATACGCTCCAAGATTAGACTTACATCGCTTTCGAGACAAACAGCCTCTATCACATTGTTGTATTTTTCCATATCTCAGATCTGAAATTGCGTGTGCGGTAGAAAGAATTTTCTCTGTTTCTCGCGGGCGCTTATCGCCTATATAATTTATAATGCATAACAGGAGACATGAGAGGAAAAGTCGCCTCTCGCGACATAATTTATTCGCCGAACGTGTGGCGGCGGCACGGCGGCGATCTCCAGAGCGTGTTCGACGTAAGCTCAAACGTAGAAACCGCCAGACGATCGGCTCCGACGTGTATATCGTAACGTATGTCTTACGCCAGACGACATTTAGATAGTCTCACGGCATATTTTATTCAGCGAAGCACATTTTTGCGGCTGAACACGTTTCAGCCGTTCAGAGATGCAGGTCCTGCATGCACATACCGAAGTTCTTATGTCGGAAAAGCTTGCAAAAAGAATCCTTGCGGTATCACGAATGCGAGGAAATACTCGGTCAGTCCTTTTTCCACTTCCGCGAAATTATTTTCGTAATATTTTAAACGAAGACGCGAAAAACTATCGCTTGAATATTCACTTTTCGGCAAAAATGCAAATTCTCTTACCGCTATGAAATATACATTAGAGAGATAGACTTTTCTACGATATGATTTATTCGCCTCTTTCTCTCTACATAAAATAACAAAATTGGATTCAGATAAACGATAGTCTTCGTTTATTTAAACATTAAGCATAAGCTTTCGCAACATTATTGAATTTCCATTTAACAACAAATTTTAATCTCATGTTTCTTGCACTTTTTAAATCCAAATCGCCCTCGGTTCCACACGTCTAGAAGAAATAGTGCAAATATTTATATAATAGAGTCGCTTGGAAATATTCTTTTCGATTCGCGATTTGTTCTTTGTAATGTAATAAACAAAATATTGCTAATATCGTTCTTAGAAAAACAGAATTAATAAGAATAATTAATAAAACCGTTACCACATTGTTCTAAATAAAAAAAATTTAATAAAAATCGTTCTCTCTCTCTTATTTTCTTCTCTTTCTGTTTGCCGATATATCCGCGCTACACCTGTCAACCTTCAACGCAGCAACGACGGCAAACAGCCGCAAGATGTATACGTGACGTTTCCGTGTACCAAGTAACTGTGAGACGTGTGCGCGAAATCGTCAGCAAAATCGTCAGCGAAACTAGAGTTACTACGCCACTATATATCGTACATACCATTTACTGCCATTTACTGCCATTCGTTTCTCGAAATTCGGCCGTACCCTCCTACGCTTCCGAGACTTCCGACGAGCCATTGAGTTCGTTTCACGGGAGAATTTACGAGCAAGGAGCCATTGTTCCGGGTGCGACAACTTTCGGCGGGAACGATATCCGATATAAGTCAGCCTAAAGCGCAATCTGAAAGATCCTAGCCGGAAAATCCGGAAAAATTGCAGGAAGAAAGGCCACCTTTAAGAAATGGTCAAGTGTATTTCCTTCTTTGTGTTTCAGGACTTTACTTCCCACAATCAAACCTCACTCTAAGGTTACCGTACTTAGCTCATAGCGAATTCGGTTGGACACAGGTCACCGGGATGTATGTAATCGACCTTAGGACCCTTCGGAATGACTCCAGCAGACCGCTAGTGGAGTATCAGATCCTCATGCCACGGGATCCGTCTGTAGTTTACCTTGATCGTAGGAGGATAGTCAGACTAGCGAGTATTCCGAAAAATGGTAGGTACACTTTTATTTATTTATTATTTTCTAAGAAAATTTTATCTAACATTATAGAAAGATAATATGTATAATTTTAGCTAAAGTAGTTTTTTTTATTTTTACGTTGTAAGGCACTCTCGATATCGTTATTAAAGCGACGGAAAAGAATTTTGACGAAGCGGTGCTGGAAATAAAAGTGCAACCAGTACCGGTGATGGGAAAAACAATCAATTGTGCAGATTTCTTGCAGGTAAATTGATGTGATAAATTTCTACTTTCTTCTGAATATATTCGCGCGAGTGACCCATCTAACCCATTAATCATTGCAATAGTCATTTGGAATTTGTACCGAAAGCCATAAATAATAAAAACTGATTTTGTTAATAAAAGAATTAAATAACAATCCATTTATTATATACAGTGAATATAAAAACGTCATAAATAGTCATAGACATTTGTTTCACTTGATGGCTTTGCGATACAAGAAGATAAACGACCATTAACGGGTTAAACTGGTTAAAGCGTCGAGATATATTTTATCGGAGGTGTTGGTCTACATTGTTGCTAGTGTTGTAGGACATGTGCTTCTGGAACACGTCGAGATACAAGATTTACGAGAATCAACCGGTCACCGTGATTGGCAGGTTCGCCCCCAAGATAAACAGCTACATGTGTTCCGAATTTGACGTCACCGGATATGAATTATTGAATGGCAAGTATCTTCAGTGACATTTCAATCCTTTCAGCTTCAATCCTTTCAAATCCAATCTCGTCTCGTATAATTCCAGACACATTCGCGATTACTTTATTTATATGAATAAAAATAATTCAAATAAACATTAATTTATCCACAAATTCTCAATTTCTGATGTAGGTATCTAACGTAAGGTAAAACTCATTCACGAGGAATTCAGAAACTTAATTCTCCTCGCGTTAGAGATCTTTATCTTCTTTAGTTAAAGTGTTTTCGATAAATCGTATTGTCGCCCTAGCGATCTTCGTTGAACCGTCAGGTTCATATTTATACGAGAGATAAATTCTCCATCAAGGGTCGAGCATTTTTCACTGACAAAGCCGGGAAAGCAACGAAACGGTGATTGATTGGAGTCATTCGACGTAAAATACGAATAAATCGTGCCACAACTGTTCGTGGCAGTGTGCAACGCTAAAGCTGCCGTCGGATCAGCGCAAAACTGTCGTCATTAAAACTCGCTGAAGACGTCGTTACTATTACAGTGACATAATAATACGTAACAACAGAAACCTGCGGCTCTGTTTGTGTGCGTCGAATCATATATCAAACCCCCGGATCTCTTCACCGACGACGGTTTAAATTTTATTTTTCGTCCGCTGAATACAATAGAAGTGGTTACCGGGAAAATGTTGCAAGCGCCATATTTCAAATGCAACTTTTTGGGAGAGAGAGTTTAATCAAACAATAGTGGAACATATAAACATTAAATTTTTATATAAAACTGCGAAATAAATATATTTGCACACGTGCACGTGCGTGCGTCAGTATTGCAATATTAATAATAACTTTGATACCCCAATATCCAAAATTATGATTGTAAAATATAAAAGTAACGCTTATGTATTAATTTGAATAGTAACATATTAAAATAATACATATATTAGAACTTTTTGCCAGTGTTATCAAATATTATAACAATATCTTTTTATTAGATTCACATGTATCTGATAAATTTGGAGCTTGCACCACGAAACTTTCTCAGAACCTCTTCGATTAAGTTAATTTATGTTAACGATATAGATGCTTTGCTACCGCAGACCACTTTTGAATAACGTACATGTTACTGCATTTGATATTGAATTTGATGCATGCCGTTATAGGAACAATAAGATAAGTTTTATTCTCGTCTTTCAGGAACAGACTATTTTCATATAGTCGACGGTGAATTATTTGCGAACGCATCCTTAGACCGAGATGTTATTGGACCTCCGGGAGGACCTGGACCTCACGTCAAGATCCAAGTCAGATGTGTCGTTTGGGAACAAAAAACCGGGATGCAATACGTGCAAACGGACGTCCTCACCATCGACATCCTGGATGAAGACGACAATCCTCCGACGGTGCAAGGCGAAACTTCCATCGCTATAACACTGCAGGACTTCTCCAAGGTAACTTTACAGTATCAAAGAGCGAAATCGAGCCAACGTTCTAAATTAGCGCTTGCCACGATTGTTCGAGTAGCTTGGGACTAATTAACTTCCTGGTATTAAGGAAGTCATAGATTTATCGTCAGCGGAGCATAAGGGCGCCGCTGATATATCGAAATCCCGCCCGGTTTATGTTCTAATTCTAATCTAATTATGAATTTGACAATATCCATTCTTTTTGTTACCTTTTATTAAAAGAAAATTTAAATTGTTATTGACTCAGATTTTAAATGGCGCCTTTATTTGTGAATAAACATATACAAAGTGTAAAAATTAAAAAGAGTAATATAAGATATCGTGCCTAAATTACATTTTTACAAGAATATCATAAAAAATAATAATAAAATTTAAGTAAAAATCGTTGAATAAGGATTTATCTTTTTGCGTGAATAACTTTAATTGCCCTTTTCTATTAACATGTTCAACACCCGCGAGCATTTTATTTGGCTTTCAGCGAATGAATCGCGTTTTTCAACCACAACATCATCACGTCGGAAAAGAGACTTAATCAAGCGCTCATTGTTCGCGTAATTACGGCGTTGTTTTCAACGCGACATGCATAATAAAAAGGAAACGAATATTACAAGTGCGAATATTACAAAAGACATGCGAGAGTGATGAAGTATATCTACGACGAGAGAGGAATAGCTTCTGGGATTGATCTTGATTAAACCTCTCTCGGGATACCTTTCTCCAACGCGTCAAATCCTCTTTTTCCTTCTCCACTTCTCACAATCCTCGGTAAACATCTTTTTTTTCCTTTCATTCAGCTGTTACTTTTTATTGTTTATTTCACTTCCATGAAGAAGCAATTGTTTCGTTCGAATACTGAAATATCTGAGGATTTTCTACGAATCTAGTTGGAGACTTTAATGAGCGAAGTTCGATCGATTAATCGAAATCTTGCGTTGTTTTGTTAAGTGCAGTGAAAATACTTAAAACAGTTACTGAGCCAATCTAACATACTATTAAAGATTGCAAAAAAGTCACGCTAAAAAATAGTTTTCTCCACTTTTCTAAATATTGTAAAAGTATAATAAAACCGAACATTTTCTTTATAATTATAGAATAAATAAGTTGTAACAAAAAATTATTGAAATAATAAAGATTATTTATATATAAAAATAAATAGATAAAAATTATGTGGATATTAATAAAAAATTTATGCCGTTAAATCCATTATAATATAGTATGATACTTACATTCGTGACTTGAAGCATTATAAAAAGAAATATTTATGTTACAGTTACATTGTTCTAGCTTGATAAATAGGAACCTTATAAGCAATATTTACAGAACTGTTAAATTTATAATACCAAATTATACTCAATTTGAGTCATTTTAATTATTTTTGTAGGTCGTTACTGCTTCTATTCGATATATGTCGTTAATTTAACTAAAACAATGGCTGCGTCCAGCAGAGAAAGCTGTTTTGCAACTGTTGTAAAATTTATGAATTTGATTGGTGTATACTCTTAGCTTCGGTGAAAATTAAAAGCATACACCAATCAGATTCACAAATTTTACAACAGTTGCAATGCAGTTTTCTCTGCTGAACACAGCCAATGTTAATTTAAATAAACATTAGAGTTAAAAATAATAAATTTCGACACGCATGGTAGTTAAAAATAAAAAAATGTTATTTAACTAAAGGTATTGGTTTAAATTTTATCCTTCAATATTTAACAGTGAATATTTATGTTACAGAACTCTAGATTGGTAGACGAGAACCGTTTGGTCGTGAAGGATGCGGATACGGTGTCCAGCAACCAGTACAGCGTTCACCTACTTGATGATACCTCCAATGCGTTGGACTTGATTTACAACATCCTGCCGATCGAGCATCACACGCGCCCGAATCAAGCGCCTTCCACCGCCATTTTTCCCAGTGAGTATTGAGCACCGTCCTCATTTCGCACTTTATTTTATATTTTATTCTATTTGATAAATGTATCGTCCGCTCGTAATCGGGAACTCGTTCCACGTGTTTTCCAGTGATCTACGCCAAGAAGACATTGCTGCCGAAATCGCCGTATCGCGTAGTTCTTCAGGTCACGGATGAGTCGCTTCTCGCGGGATACGGGGCGAATTCGGTGAGTCAATATCGATTCTATGTCGCTGACACTCGCAAGCTACTTGAAGCATTCGCTCCATTTGCAATGTGTCAAAGGACAGTAGTGGCCAAGTAACTTAAGAGCCGATTCCGAGCATGGTAGCATGTGGCAGAGTAAAAGCCTAGTTCCTTAACTTTCCTCAATGCACTTTAAAGGTCGGAACACTCCAAAGTACTCTGCCTCTATAATTTCTCTGATCTTACAGTTTGGAGGCTTAGAAGGATTTTTTATTTTACTTCTTCGCACGTATTCAAACAGTTTATATAGTTTGAAGATCAGGAAATTAGATTCTTATTAATACTAACAGGATAAATCCTAGCTCAAATTTACAAAAAAGAATAATATTTGCAATTCAATAAAATGCAATTTGTTAAAAAACTGACTGCTGCATCAGATAATCAAATCAGAGCTTTTCGTAATGCACTCGTCCATTCGTCGAAATGAACGAAGAGAACACGCGCAGCATGCCGCGCTGGGAATCTGTTGTTCGATTAAAAAAGTTCGCGCCGATAAATTTCGCAATATCGGCAGAGGTCCCCCGATATCTCACCGCCGTATGTCATTTTGCCCGTGAACGGCACTGGCAAAACTCGAGGCGGAAGTGCACCGTACTGATCTCATAACTCGAGCGGAGAGCCTGGTTTAATATAGGAGAAGACCAAGACGCCCGCGTGATATCTCCGAGTTAAGATCTGTGATCACTTCACGCGAAACGTGAAATTTTCATCCATGAAATTTTCGTTATTTCCACTCATTTACAGCAAATAAAAATCTCTCCGATAATCAGATAACGACTGCCGTACGTTTGGTTGCTACAGCGAGATAAAATTGTGCAATACTAAAAATTTATATATAAATTGAACAACTGTTAATCCTTAATTCTTTTCGAGACAAAGCTTTTTTCCAGATAAAAATACCTAATTGATCTTTTATTTGTTAATTTTGAAATTGAATTAATTGATACTCTCGCTTTCTCTCTCAAAGATGTATTTATATTTTCATAAATGCAAGCCTCTTAAATGCGAATTTCCTCTCATTTCTGTCGAGTCCACTCTCGATCGGCACGAAACGACATCGATCCAAGCTTGTATCAAGGAAGCCGCGAAAGATAAGGACTCATTAATGGCCATTAGTCGTGCGCCTTGCATCCGTAATCCTCGCCTCTCGCCATATAATCGGAGGCCATTAAACAATTAGGTAGTGAAATCTCGCCTTGTTAGAGGTTCCTTGGGTGCGGCATTGATTTCGCGGAGGCGGCTAATCGTGGATTAAATACCCGCGTCCGCCATCTGAAATTGATGTGTGGGTGTAAAGTCACTTATTGCCGAGCTTCGTTTCGAATAATGCGATTGTCGTTAACGCGGCTCTCGCTGATGTTTTTCCTGACAAACGAATGAACGGACTTTTCGGAAATTTTTCCGTCCTCGGAAAGAGAACATTCGTTCGGTCGGAGATAATCTGACTGATCGCTCGATGTGATGAAATTCGCAAGGAAGCTTCGGGAATTGCGGCATAAAGCGCGAATAAATGCATTGTTCCGCGTACGTAGAATGCAAATATTTTGCTCATCGTTTTCATGAAACGAATGTTTAATCATTCCCATTTAGCAGAATTTGTAGTCGATTTATACAGACTACGTGACAATTAACAGCAAGCAAAAAGGGTCCTCAAAAATCTTGAATAAATTCAAGATTACATGTAATTGCATGTAAGATAGCATATACCAGAGATTTTTTTTTTCTAACATGATGAATTTAATTGCAAAACTATTTAATATACAAGTTAATCACGTTGAAAAATAAAATTTTATATTTCAACCTGAAATATCTATGTAATGTTAAATATTAAGAGAGAATTACATTCATTTTTTACTACAAATCGACAGAATTATTAAAAAATCTTTTCGACTTGTCAATAATTATTAAACATATCCTACTCTTGATATTTGCATCGTTGATGTTAAATTGCCACTCACGCGGCAGTATCCCAGTGTCACACATGCGGAACATACGTCATCCTGAATATGTAATTGGAAGGAGAATAATGATTGTAAAACGGTATGTGAAAGCGATAATAATCGGATGGTATTCGTTCTAATTCGAGAGCCGCGCTCGTCGTGCACCTTTAATGGATACCCTATATCATCCGCGCTGCGCACGACTAGCTGTTTAAATTGAAACCACGCGAGAAAATAAATCTTGACGCCGATATCCAAGCGACCTCGGCGACCTGCTCTTGATATATGTCCCGTGACCCTTAAATCAGGCCGTGTCTGAAGTATCGCCGATCCTCCTGGGTAATCACGTCTTTCCTCGTGAAACGCGATACCCTAACGCTCTCGCAGTTGAACGCTGATCTTTAGCCCACATGGAAACGCAAATCCTTGCAAATCGCTCTTATTAAGTACGCGTTGGAAGTTATTAAACTTTCTCCCTTCCTTATTTCTTCTTAAACGAATAATAAAAACTTGTTTCTTGACGTTATTAACATTAAAAATATAAATTAATATTAGACAGAATTTTTTGTAACAAACAAACTGCAATAAGATTTTATTCGTAGTTTCTACGCGTCGTTTTAGAAAAGATTGGTATACGTGCGTTTAAGTACCATGAACACTCTTTCCGCTATGATCGTTCCATGGGTATCCCAAGAAATGGACGATAAATTCTAATAAGAGAGTCACGTAGCAGTCGCACCTGCGGTGGTCTTTAATATCGATCTTTTGCGGTAAAATATTATTTGAGTTTCTTTCGAGACCCTTTTTAAACGTGGCAAATCTTCTTAATCTCTTTTAAGCCGGTTCTTCAATACGTCGCAAACGATGGCAACTGCTTAATTGAAAAGTGTTATTTTCACGTAACGTTGCGCTTGTCAATTGCGGTTGTCAAAAGAGAGTTGGCAAACTTTTAACTTTTTTGGCGACAGTAACTGGCAATCGGCAATCAGAAATAACACTTTTCAACTAGCAGTTGCCATCGTTTACGACGTATTGTAGAACCGGCTTTAATGTAACAATACATCACGCCTTAAGACGTGGTAGAAATGTCTTTTAGCTATTTTTAAAATAATTACAACTTATAATATTGTAAAAGAAATAATTTAGTCAATATTTAAAAAAATAAGTAATATAATATAATAAAAATTATTATATTAAAAATTATACACAAATATACAAAATTACATTGATAGAAATAAAATGAGGAGCTTATTCAGAGCAATTCAAAACAATAATATTTCTTCTCGTTATACTTTTTTGAGATCCTCTGTGAGCAAGCTAATCCTTCTCGCATCATTAATCATTATGTAAGCTCTTATTACAAGAAAAGCTTCCGAGTATTAAGAGTATTTTTACATTATTAAACATTTAAAAAATCAATACTTGTATAATAGCATCATAAAAAGTCGCTTGATAAAAAATGAGATAATAAATAAGTCAAATTTAATTAGAAACGTAATAACTAGATATTAATAAAAAATAAAAGTAATTATAATACAAAATAATATAATAATATATAATAAGTATTTAATTTTTTTTCTTAAAATCTTATTTGAATTGGCTCGACAATAATTCTTAATTATTTTCTTTTATTTAGGTGAACATCAGCATAACTTTCTCGGGGCCGATACATCAAGCTTTAACAACCGTAATACCGTCAACTGTCGCAACGTTCTCGTATCCGTCGAATGTGAAGATAGCCCGAATTTCGCCTAGATATCTACGCGTGGCGCAACCCACCACGAAGCCACATCCTTCGATAACTTTCGTCCTGAACGGTTCGGGCGCCTTCAACGTCACCCAACGGGACGGCATCATTTATGTGTCCAATGAAACTAAGCTACGATCCGAGCCCAACAACACCGTTCAGTAAGTCTGTCCGTGTCCTATAAATGACTCGATGTCATGCGAGAAGGAACTATTTTCAGTAGTTAGATAGCCATTTCTGTATAGGAAGAACAAAATGCTATTAGCATCCCGCAGATGTTCCTCATCTATAGAACGTAAATGAAATTACAATATTTTCTGTCGGTCGATTTTCTATATTTAAAAATGTTACAATACTTATATATATATATTGAAATATGCCCTATCCTTCGAAACGAATTAAATATCCAGATACCTGATCAGGCACGAGTATGACCTAAATCTAAACAACTGTTTTCCGCACTTATATACATAAATACTTGTATTACATTTGTATTGGTGTCGAGCATCTAAATATCTTAACTAAAAATATTTATATCGTTCAAGTATTTTTACTAAAGAAGATCAATAAGATTTAAAAAAAACTTTGATACTTTATATTATATTTTTATTGCCTTATTAGGAATGTATTTGTTCTCAGAGTTTTAAAATTGATTTAATTGAACACTATGAAAATTATAAACGCGAAAAATAATTAAACTAATGGCATCTTGAGAAGACTTGCGTCTCGATCACGCCGGGTCGATGAATAACGACATTTTGCCCGTCCAGAGCGAAGCTTCTTGTCACGTGAGCATAATACGGTATATCGATTTGTTCGCCAGACTGAAATTAAGATGGATCGGAGTAAATGGTACTGCTACGACCAAGACGTTGCGAGTGAATCTGGTTGACGTACTACAATCGAAGATCGTCACGTGCGGGCAATCGGCTCAAGAGGAAATGCACTTGTGTGCGAACGCGGAAACACGCGAGAAATGCGAAAAGTCCTGCGGAATTGGCAGCGGAGTCCTTAGGTGTGTATCATCTATTCTTCCTCAGACTGCATATAAGTCTCCTTGAGCAACCGTAATCCTTTTGGATGGTAAATACCACAAGAATCCTTATAGGAATTTTATTTAAAAGATCCAATATCTCTTTAATAACGATTAAAGTAATTTCCTTTTATAAACATAATAGTCAATGTTAAAGAGATCGAATCGTGGTTATATATGATACGAGATAATAATTAGTATCTATATCATCTATAGATTCTATAATGTTAATTATTACTAGGATTATAATTAATTTTAATTGTCTGCTATTTTGCCGTGTAGATAATTATTGGCAGAACTTTCGTTAAGTATAATACCTTTTCTTATTTTATGCGACAGGAACGTTTCCTTTAATTTCCAAGTGGTGTAAATCTACTAGAGTTTAACAGCAGAAGCGCATTCCACAAAGTGCTTGCGTTCCACACATGTTGCATATATTTTACTTTATAATTACATTGCTGGAAAATGGCGCATAATCCCACTTGCTTCTATGTGTATAAAGAATTTTCAATTTACTAAATCTTTCATTATATACCTTTTTTTACTTATTTTATTTTACTTTTACTTTATGAAAAGTCTAACAAGAGGTCTATATTGTTTGACAAAAAATGCGGAAGCATATTTAGATAAAATTAATAAGTTTTTAAATAATAAATATAGAAGCCATTTTTTGAAAAATACTATTGACCGATAGCGACTCTTTATACTTTATATACAAAGCAAATTCATTTGATATCGAACCTCCACTATCATTGTGTCTCGAAATTGACGGTGATTTTCTACAATGAAATAAATGAGAAGACTGGGTCATTACTTTCGTTCTTTTTCCCGGAAGAACATCACATCGCCACGAGGCACAATTTCATCGTAACGATTTCGGATGATAGCGCGTCCAGGTTTATGGCTCCTCCATTAGGTTCCACTTGACTTGCTTTCTGTATTCCTCTTGACGATTATCGTTTTCTGATATGATAAGGTAAAAGATGTTAATACGACGGATTATTTTTTCTATTCCTTTCTTTCCTTTTGCTTTGTCAGAATAAAATAACGATTATTATCGTTTTCGCATTTAAGTTTCTTTCCTGCATTAAAACATGCCAATTTAATATTATATTGGAACAAACATCGCTTATTATTAAAATTCTAAAAAAAATTTGTTAAAAAAATATCTATTATTATTTAATTCATTACTTTAAATTTTTCTTTATTTATATTTTATATCCTTTTTTCCCTAATTAAGTTTTATTACCAAATTAAATTCACATCATATTTTATTTTTCTAAAGAATAATTTAAAAAAGTATAATATAAATTATTTATTTTAGTCGGATCGATTTATTTATTTTAGTCGGACCGATTTAAGATTAAATTTATAATTAAATAATGTATGACTAAGAATATTATTTCTTTACCGTTTAATATAATATAATCCGTATAATGGAAGCTACTTCTAGTAATTCTGAAAAAAAATAGCTTGTAACACTTCATATGAACCTTTTTCCGCATCTCGTGAATAATCATAAGAAGGCATTAATAATGAATTTATGCGTAGCAAGGGCAGTTTCAACGGTCGATGCGTATGGAGGAGCAACAACGCTACTCAAATGTCGGAATATTATTCCACTTGTTCTCCGAATCTGTTGTACTGTCCGGACAACGAATGCGACGAACTGGAGCGCAACGTTCCACATATATGTCCGCAAGACTGCACCGTCGAATGTGAGTCGCATGTATTGTTTCGTCGATCGAATTAGTGTAGTAAAAAACCGGCCGTGTTAAAAAAATGTCACAACACCATCGCATGGGGGTTTATCGTATTGTGAAAAATAAATGATCAAATAGCAAATTATTTACGACAATTAAAGCGCTTTTATATAAAAAAAAAGAGAGAAAATAGTTTTCTTAAAGGGCCTAAAATTCAAAATCTCTAAAGTTCCAAATGATTTTAAAACGATACTATAAGTTCTAGATGAGATACATGTAGAAAAGATATTAGCATATATATAGAGCCGTGTTTTAGATTTTCGGCCTTGACATAGATACTTTTGGTCCTTTCGTTTAAAAATCTTTCATTTAAAAGGATTTTGTATTGTCGTAGTATAGTATTTCATCGAAAGGGCTTTAAGAGTTTAAAAGAAGGATTACTATACTTTTCTCCGAGAAGCACTCGCTCGATCTAAGAGCGGTTGTATTCGCGTTTTTAGCTGACGTTTTTCTCGCTCACATGAACAACGACGGCCGCGGCATAAAGAGCGGCCTGAATACTTGCATCTGCAACGATGTAATGCAATGCACCTGCGGAGTGGACTCCTTTTTGCAAGGAAATGACGTGCCTGGAACGACAAGGGAGGAACGACTGGGCACCGGAAAATTACGTGATCGAGGAAACGAGATTGTCGTGTCGGGCGCGCGAAAAGGTCGGTTATCGCATCCTTTTCCCCATTTTCTTTTCCATAGAAATTATTTGTGCCAGGCAATATTAAGTCACAGAGAAGCCTAAGTGTAACTGTTGCGTAAATATATTTATAAAGGTTTTGAGTATTGAAATTTAAAACTAATATTTCAAACAAATCAACTTCCAACATATCAAACATTCCATTTTCAACGCTTTTAGTTGTAAAAAAATTACGTGATCTTTCCTTTTAATATAACATCAAATTTTACATCAAATTATTGCCTATTTTTCACTTTATCAAGCAGCACTAACCTTTGTCCTTTACGCTTCTGCAGCGTCCAGCGGACCGTGCGGCCCCACATGCATGATGGGTGTCATCGGAGCTAGTCTGTTTGTGTTGATCGTGATTGTGGGGTCATTCGTGATGTGGAGATATAGGTAAGACGCCAAAACAGTTAATTATACAAGATAACACTATAAAATCAGATAAAATTATTTCCAATGCGACTTTGTATACATTATAAAAAGTTGTATACATATATATGTCTTCTTCAGAAGCACATAATTTTTCTCTTGCAAGAGAAAGAGAAGTACATTCTCTTTCTCTTGCACGAAAAAATATAAATTTATTATATACATATTATTCTTATATAAATTTATATAAATTTATATATTCAACCTAACGATAAATAAGATAAGTCTAATTAGACTTATATAATATATATATTAGATTTATTTTATTTATTATTAGATTGAAATTAAAATAGCGATGAAAGAGAAATATTAAAACTTGCTTGGAAAATCTAATATTGTTACGATGGATTGTAAGATGGTAGAACGTGACAATATCTTATTAAAGTCTTTTGGTCCGCATGGATCTTAAAAGGATTTAGTGAATCGCTTCTGGACCAGTGGCTTGTGCAGAGCTTATCGGTTCGAATCTTATGTTTACAAGGAATTAAGGGCAGGGTGAAGCTTGTAGTAACCGGGATTTGGACATGGTTTATTTAATCTCCAGCTTTCCGGGATTATACAAAAAGACGCAGATGTAAAACGATAATGTATAATTGTGGAGATTAATGCATATTTATTAATACTGAAGTATAAAATTTTAAAACGTTATTCCTAGAAGTAATGCGCAAATAGCACAAATTGATAATTCATAAAAGTTTGATTGTTATATGCAAAGTAAGTTCATCGCTCAGCGTCAATTCCGTTTAAAAATCTGTAATTTATCTCTCTTTATATTTTATATATAATATATATATAACCAGATATATTTTTGAATTTTATAACTTTCTGGCACATCAAAGAATTCATTGCAAGAATACAAATCGAGGGAATTTTTCACGAGAGGAAAGAATATATTTGTTTAACTTGCCCAGAAGTAAAGTCGAACTCGAAAGTTTCTGGCAAAGAGCGGAATTGGGAAAGTTTCAATGATATGCACGTTGCGATAGCACGTTTCCTCTTTACGTTCACAGCTTGCAATTGGCTACCTTTTATTCTTTTAGTGAATTTTTAGGTATATTTTAATCGGTTATTTTATATCACTACGCGTTTTTATCATTTTTTTGTATGACAATTTTAAACTAAAACTGGATGTGTCTGAAAATTTAGCATTCAACTTTTGCCAAATAAATTTCTATTACATTAGCGAGAGATATTGTGGACGCTGGCATACCTTGTATATGCAATTATATACACTCACAAGCCTGCGAGCTATCTAAACTTTCGAATTTGGGTCAATGTCTACCAGAATTTCTCTCTCAGAGTGACCACAATGGGTTAACTTCCGCTAAGTTGCATTAATACACTCTTAAAATGATTCGATCAAAACAAAAGAAAAAAGATTAAACATGGCCGGTATTCATAGTCGGATCTTATATATAAGATTGTCGGCTACAGAGTATGTAAAGATGAATTTAAGACAATCTTATATGTAAGATCTGACTATGAATACCGGCCATATTGTATCTTGTAATCAAATATTTATTGCATTAATTTTTTTTTATTCTTTTACTTTTTATTAAAAAAAAAACATCAATTTTACATTTAATTATACAACGTAATTTCATTATAATTAATAATTACTATCGTAGAGAAGGCTAAAGTAATTTACACTGCCGTAATTGATAATGGGTACGGTAAGCTCAACCCCAATTATCCCATTTCACTCCACAAACCAAAATAGCTTCATGAGCCAACATAGCTCGTCTTCCGCATCACGATGCTCTGCGTTCCAGGATGGCGGCGAAGGGCGCTCGACGGGAATGCAAACACAGGGTGGACGATGCGGCAAATGGTATTGGTATTTTGCCGTCCGACTACATCGATCGCGGCGATGGTCTCTTGATCGGTTTGGACACGTTCACGGCGGCGAATCGTCATCTATTGTTACCGAAGACATGCCCGGTAAGAAATCTTTTACCTCGGTCAGAATATCTACTGATATCATCCACTAGAAATGGAAAAATTTAGCATAGGAATGAGATAAACCTGAAAATTATAGGGCTTACTTACCTCATTCTTGGGGTGAAAAATCTTGAATTAAAATTTGTATAATTTTATTGGAAGATTTCCGTGTCATAAAGTCTCTATTCCTTGTCATAAAAAGTACTTATGATTAAGAAAAAAAATTAAATTGTTTCTTTATTTATTACAAAAGCAGATAATCGGTAGAAAATACATACTTTACGTTTGTAAGAGTGAATATTGAGTTCGCGGTTTTGATCTTTTCAATATATTACTTTCGAATAGACATTATCTAAGATACAGAGTGTGCAAAGTTGCAGAAACTTTCTTATTACTTTAACGTCGGTGTTATCTAGCGGCGGCAGACTTTCCAGCGAAAGACGCAAGATAAAATAGGCGTTTTTTAACAGTTCTCGAATAGTAATATTCAATTATTCTGTAAGCCACTTCATATCCAGATTATCGCGCCACGTCTGAGCTAGTAAATTAATCTTGCAATTCGCAGAAAGGTTTCCAAACATATTTTAATGAACATTTATCACTAAAAAAGAAATTATAATTTCTTCACAATCATGCACATTTGTTGCGCTTGAAATAAAAAAGAAAGAAAATGCCAAGAATGAGACAAAATGAACGGATGATGTACCGTTAAATCTTTTTCACATATGAATTCAAGAGAAGAAGCTCTTTTCTTTTTCATTTCTTTTATTAATTTTTTCTAGCCACATATATAATAAAATTTAATAAAACTACCAACGTTCAATATTGTTGCGAATAAAGTGATCATAGCTTCACATCTACCAAGAAGTTTTGCGAGAAACTTTTAACACAGGGGGAAATAAATTTCTCACTTTTATTTATTTTTTTAATAAATTTCCTTCACGTGAAGAAAAATCGTAAAAATCGCCATCTTTGCACAGCTGTGTCAGTACTTAACTGCGCAACACGATCTGCAGAGACTTTCTCCGTGTATAGTCGCCTCCTGCACGTGATATGTCGTACGTGCGTGCTCGCGTGTTGGCGCGCATCCGCGTAAATCCCGCAAGCAGCGTGCTAAAGCGCATAAGCTCCCTCAGCTTTCCGCACGGAGAAGCGCGAGACTTCAAGAGGGTTGATTCTCGGAATCTAAACGCGCCTCGAAAACTCGGTCAAGCTTTCGTAGTAGGTCTTCAAGTTCAGGATATTTGTTTAGCAGTGTCGTTGCTCGCGCTCGATCGCCCATCTCTTAGAAGCGCGTTAAATCGCGGAAGACGCATTTCCGCAAAATAAATGCGCGTATTCTTAGGAGAATTGCTATTGGATGCCCCGCATTCTCTTGGAAGGATACGGCACTCCAGCTGACTACTGATGAGGGAATAAGAAATTGAGATTGCTTCAATTTAAGATTTAATCTAAAATTTTGAACACTTTCGAAGATTCTTCGTAAAAAGTCTTGAATATTTTTCATGAGAATGTGTGATACTTTGCGAATTTTATACACATTATATCAGGGATTACGCGGAAAAAGACTTATCAGCATTTTATTATTTTTTAGAAATAAAAGTCCGGCGGTTTCTCATCTTGTCGTTTTTCGCATCGTTGTTTTCTGTATCTCAAGCAATCGCGTATTTCACCGCGCGCTTCTCACGTTACGATCGTGAATATCGCTCTTGGCCCGTAGAGACTTGTAATTTACTTTGAAAATACGCAAAGGAATCTCTCTTATCTAACGTCTGCGCTCACCCTCCCCCCCCCCTGATTACGGAAACTTTTTAGCACTCGTATATTTGCTCTCAGAATTACACCGAAATTAAAGTTCGACTTGGCATCTCTCCCGCATTTCGGAACAATTTCTAAAGTTGTTTGGCGTAATTAACAACGCTTGAGAATATAAATGAGGGTCGACAAAATTTTTTTACAGAGGACTGTCAAGGATCTTCTTGAAACACAAAGTATCGTACTTTATGCAGATTTCTCTTATTTCGTAATATAGTCTAGTTAATAAAAAGAACCTTTCAACTGAAAATCCCTTCTTTTACCCTTTAAAGTGGAATGCGAATATACTTCGTTGCATCTCCTTCAAATACCACAAAAGCTCAGAATATGCAAACATATCTCGTAAAATAATAAAATCTAACAAAATATAAAATTTAATATAATATACATCTTATATTACTTATATTAATTTTCTTTGCACAATATTCAAATTTTAAATTAATGAAATAATATTTATTTATATTGTATATACATACCTAAACTTTTTTCTGTTCTTTTTAAATAAATAAATAAAAATAAAGAGGGATGCACTTTCAGTTGTTCGGAGTATCCACAATCAAATGAAAGAATACGATAAAAATATCGATAAAATAAAACAAGTAAAGCCGCGAACTGTCGTTGGAAAAAATTCACGATATTTCTATTCTTCGCGAGGCGTGTTCCTGAAGCGACACCAGCGAGATAAAGTCACTTTTATTCAATAAAGTCGAAACGAAGTCGGATCGACTCTAACATGGCATGTGCGGCTCAGTGAACAGTAGGTTTACGAAGGTAAACCCTTTCGTGATGTACACGCGCCGCACGTGCGAATTCATCGAAAGCATTTTTACGTCATGCAAATTTCATTCTTCATCATCAAACTTTTGAGTGATGATGGAGTGATTTTATAATAAAATTTCTTTGATCGGGACGTAAATTAATCTGCTTTAATAAACAATTAATTTCCTCAAAATAGATTCTACGCAAGTTTGTTTGCTAAATTGCTTATTCGCAGCAAGGTCTGTTTAGCTTCTTGTTTACCGTAAACGTGACGTACTCAATAACCTTGCTTGAAAGTTGTGAAATTGAAAAGGTCGAAACTCTATGCTAAAACCATGTCATTTTTCAAGCAAAAATACGCTCTCTATGAATTTTTGTCATTTCAATAAAAAATAGATACCAATCTTTCGAAGAAAATTCTTCGGAGATGTGGAAAATAACACGGTAATATCATTTTGAATTTCATGGAGTCAGCACGTGTTACAAAATTTATACATCGAGAAGCATTCCGTTCCGAAAAAGTTCTATCATACTGCCGCGAGAAAAGATTCCTGAGATCGCGATTCTTTGCAAAATAAAGCGGAATGTAAAAAAATATCCAATTTATTATTCTTTCTAAATACAATTTCTGTTAATGACATATTATTACAATTTATTGATTAAAAACTAATTTCTGTAACTGATGGATATGAATTATGTCTAATTCAAAATCTTGTATAGCGAAATTCTCAGTGGATAATACGCTAATACTAATTCAAGGTGACTATTAATTCGTAGAGGTATTTCTCATTAGCTACGTGATCTCATTATCATTCTTGAACCGTCGTTTAATTGAGTATCCGTTCGCGTCCTTTGCGAAGCGACTTGCGCGAAGTAATGCCGTACAGATATTGTCTGACACGAACCTGGAAACATGTTCCACCGAGGCGTAACACTGGATTAGAGGTAGCAGAGCTCTTATCGTAACAAGCTCGAAAGGATTTATTAATCGTGCAAGCGTTCTCCATCTTCGTGTTCAGGATTTCTCGAATTGTTCTACACGCGTTGCAGAGAAAGCAAACGAAAATTAAAATAAAAGTGAATTTAGAACAACAATTTAGAAACGAGCAAAACCCATGGTCGAAAAAGTCTTGACGATTAATCTGACCAAAAGCAATGGTCGAATTGTCACGACATTAGCCAAACGTTGTCGAATATAAAAATAGAGTCTTTCTCGTAAAATAAAAGTGATTACAATAAGATAACAAACCAACATCCACGACCTGACATTAGATGTAAATATAGGTCAAACGAATAAGTGTCTAAATAAGATAACGTCAAAATGTTAGCCTATCAACGACTGAAAGTTTCTCTATATGACTTCAAGAAAAGAAATTAAGATCGTTATCCGTTAATCGGAGTAAACTTGTAGTAAAATATGAAATTGATCATAAACATGTCTAACTTCCGAATTTTTGCGTGGAATTTCAGCCGGATCCGAAGTGGGAATTTCCACGATCGCTCCTGAAAATCGAGCAGGTGCTCGGCGAGGGTGAATTCGGGCGCGTCTTGCGCGCTAAAGCTATGAACATCAGTGGAATTCCCGGTCCCACGACCGTCGCGGTAAAGACCCTGAAGGAGGACGCGTGTGCTTCTGAACTGGCAGATCTACTGTCTGAATACCAATTGTTGAAGGAAGCGCAGCATCCGAACGTGATTCGGCTGTTAGGCGCTTGCACGACACCGCCGGGCGCGCCCGTCTATCTCATCATCGAATTCGCCGAATTCGGCTCCTTACGGTAAGTGCGCGCCGTGATATATTCGACCGTCGCTGTCCTGACGCTATTTATGACCTTTCCGTTTCACGAGCTTCTGGTCTTATCGATAAAAGTCCTGCTACGACCGCTGGAAGCGGAATGACGCGATTCGTGCGTCATCCTTGTCGAAATTATAGCTTTAACTTAGATGCAGATAACTCTATCTTTCTTTAGATGCTGAATAACACCCATTTTTTCAAGATTAAATTAGAGAAATCTTGTATTTATGTTTATTTTGTTATTTCTTATATTTGCAATTTTTTTCTATTTTAGCAATATGAGAATAAATGTGATTATAATTTACATAAATGTATTATAAATATATATGTTGTAACAGATAATATTTTGAAAGATCTAGCAAAGGACTTAAACTAATGTATTATTCCAGAAAGTTAAAGGGAAATTTTTCTCTTTCGTTAAGCGTATAAAGACGAACAAATAGCGCACGGATATTACTGCTTGGTATTCATAGTATTTTCATTGTCTCGTTATAGTCGAGAGATCAAAAGTCGAACAGTTTTATCTTCTATTTATGCCAACAATGCCCCATATACGCGTCTAAATGAACGACGTCGCAACGAACGCGGCGGACTTACAAACGCGGAAATAACTCTGAGAGAATTTATCGCGATGCGGAATTCCGCCGCATGGAATTCCACCACTGCCAGGGGGGACAACAACCTTTTAAACCAGTTGCTCTCGGTAATTAAATTTTTCCGCGGACGACGCGGACGTGATGCACATGCCGGGAGATCCATCCCCTATTCATCGCGATCCAAGTTTCTCCAGGAACGGACGGATTATTGACCACCAATTTCCCGGACAATGCGACTTATAGGATAAATTTACACGAAATTTCAGTAACTATCTGAGGCGCAGCCGGCACTTGGAGTCGGAGTGTAGAATACCCGCACCGACGTCTCTGCTTTCCACTTCGCCGATCAACGCCAGTGAGGAATCGCAAGGCAGCGATAATGCATTGAACTATACGATAACGCCGCGCGATATTCTCTCGTTCGCCTGGCAAATAAGCAAAGGGATGGCATATCTAGCCGATATTAAGGTATAATACCATTTCCAAATATCTATTAAATTATCTGGAATTTTCTTTTTTTTTCTGAATTACACTGAACTCATTATTTTTACGAAATATTTAAACTAAGAATGTCTAAGACATATAATACAGTTAACTGAAAATTGATAATGGAATCCTATCAGTATTTAAATTGACTTTTCTTAGAACTTAGTTAATGAAATTTAAGGGTATATTCGATTGCAATTCTCTCTCCAATTCTCTCGAAAGCAATGCCAAAGTCGTGAAATGTCTCAAGTCGACTCTCGGTCAAGTCATTAGCAATTAATCAAAGTTTCCTCCGCATTGCAGTTGGTGCATCGGGATCTCGCAGCGAGGAATGTTTTGCTCGCAACCGGGAAGGTTTGCAAGATCTCGGACTTTGGTCTAACTCGTGATGTATATGAAGACGATGCGTATTTGAAGCGAAGCAAGGGACGAGGTGAGACCACTAATTAATTTTCTACTCCGACTCGCAACTTGCAGACTTTGTGTTATATTCACTCATCATTGAAATATAACGTAATAAATCATAACAACATATCTTAAATAACTATGTAGTAGATCAGTGTTCCTTCAATAATACGAATGCAATCTACACAAAAATATCATATAAATCTTATAAATTATAATCTTATCGCAATGATAAATCTAAAAGCTATTAGGCAAAAAGCGTAATTTAGCATTGAAAGGTGCAATATTGCGAGGTGCAGACAATATTTTAGCAAGCTTAATACTAACGATCCTAATTCAACCACGACGGAGTAATCCGGGTCGTAATTCTCTCGACGGATTCACGGAAAAAAACACCTTTAATGACTCGCGCGAGCCCGACTGTTACTTCGCGTTATCCAAGGTTTTACGGTTTGTGCCCGCAGTGCCCGTAAAATGGATGGCGCCGGAATCCCTGGCTGACCATGTGTATACCAGCAAATCGGACGTTTGGAGCTTCGGCGTGCTCTTGTGGGAGTTAGTCACGTTAGGAGCCTCCCCGTATCCTGGAGTGGACGTACATAATCTCTACAATCTGCTGAAGGTCGGCTACCGTATGGAGAAGCCGTATAACTGCTCGCAACAGTTGTAAGTGCTTGTTTAATAATCGTTTCATCCTCTAGTGATTTAGAGCGCTTTAACTTTCATTAATCTTAAGAATCATCAATCTTAAACCCACTTTAGAAATTTAGTTCTACCTATCAAATAATATTTCTTATAATTGTCGCTTTTACAGAAAAATTACTTTTGCTGATCGCTTTCAACATAACGACTACTATTTCTCTTTCATAGTTGTCTTTGTATATGAAAATTATTCTTTATTATTATCTTCTTTCTCGCTCTTCTTCTTCTCCTTCTTACATTCTTTCTCATTATCTTTTTAGAAAATTGCAATTTACGTTCTTTAAAACTTAGCTTTTCCCGAGTTCTAATTGAAAGTTAACTTACAATTAGCTGACTAACCAACGCTGATAAAATCAAAGGACCTATAGGGCTGTGGTGTAACTGTTACTTATGCGATATTCATAATTACGAGGGACTCGTACGTAATTATCACAGGGAGTTCGTGATTATAGTAGCGTGACTTCATATCATATGTGAAACATTCATCTTCTCTGAAGATTAGATCGTTGTACTGCGAAGTCAACTTTAATACATATGCTGTGTGACTAAATATTACTGAATTAATAACATAGTGATAAACATGTGATATGAAGTAACAGTAATAAAGAGAAATGACCGAACCTTCGAACGTGACGTGCACGTGGTCTTTTCAATTAAACTATTGCCAAAGCTATGCCCTTGGAAAAGCGTTGGAAAAGTGCCAGTACTTAAAATAAAGTAGGTTAACTATTTCAGCTCGTCGTAAAGCTCGTCGTAAAAGTACATTCTCTCTATCGTACAAACGGAAGACGAAAGTCATTTCCTATATCTTTTACAGCTTCTGAGAAAACATCTTCATTCGATTGTAGATAGAACGAGGGATACATTGTTTTATATTTTTTCAGATACAGGTTGATGGTGTCCTGTTGGCATCAAGAGCCCGGCATGCGACCGTCGTTCAGGGAACTAACCAGCCACTGGGAGCGTATGCTGGAGGATGGTGTCGAGTATCTCGATCTTAATCCACGAACCGTCCATAATCAAGCCTACTTTGCGTCTCTGCCAATTTTGGACAACGCGAGTGGTAAGTAAAATTAATCGATTCGAAATATTGTTATCCTTATTAATATTTATAATACTCTAAAGATAAAAAATTTCTATAGATTTTGGCAGTTCCAAATTATTTTTAAATGTCACTGATTTCGATCTCATGACTCAATCATCATCAACAGTCGTTTAACCCGAGAAAGGGCGCCTGGGATGATTTTTACTCTCCAGTATCGAAAAAATGAAACTCACGTCACAATAATTTTAATATGCTTTTTTTGTTTTTTTAAATATTCTTTTATTTCTCCCTGCTTTTTTTTCAGAAAATATTGAGTAAATCTATATACATATTATTCTCAAATACTAATAAATTATAGAACAATTAAAATTATGTAATTAATAACAATGACTTTAAATTAGAGTGTAAAAATTACCCCAGGTGACCATTCATGCAAAAAGAAATCAGGCAGCCGTTTCTGGTTTAACTATTTCAAAAATAATACGCGATTTCGAATTGTCTTAAAGTTCTCGTCAATAACTCTTTTGCAGGTTCTAGCAACGACCAGATTGACAACGGGACTGCCAACGGGATTTTAAGGACAGACACTGTCAACTACCTCGGCCGGATATCTTCTGAGCCCGTCACCAAGTGCGACAAGGTGGACAAATTGCAGGCGCTCTGGCAGCCGTCCATAGCGTCCTTCCCCGAGGAACCCATAAAGTCGCCCTACGTGAACGAGCGATCCGCGAGCTTGAATGCCAATCATTACGAAAGCCCGATAAAGCTAAGAAATACCAGCGTGGCCAGCAACAGCGAGAACGACTTGAGAACACCTCCCAACGACCGTCCTCAGTCCTACATCGATATGCAGGGAAAGAAATCGACGGAGACGGAGGATCTCTTGGTGTTTGGGAGCATGGACGACGACGACAAGAACGACAATAACGTGACGAATTGATCGACGTAATCTCACGTTGGACGTTTGACAAATGAGAGAAATTCAAAACAGAAAACGTCAGTTTTCTGAGTCTCAACGAGCTTTCGTTGTCTCGAGGCGGATATACGATGAAAAGAAAGTAAAGGTAACTAATTGAGGGAGCAATTGTTGATCGCAAATTATGCGAGAAAGAGAGGAATATTTATTTAACGAGGAAGTATGAAAGAGAATTGTGTGCGAGTAATTGGAAACGAATGATTCGCGATAGGATGAGAAGGAATTGCGCAAAATGACGATGACACGATGATGTGCTGGATGAATGAAAATTTGCATTTGTAAAAGCAAATATTAACTCCGTGGAGTTGAATATGTCGCGATTTAAATTATATCGCAGAAAGAATTCCTGAAAGAATTCTTGATCGAACGAAACGCTCTGTAGGAAGTTAGAGATAAACTATATCGCGCAAAACGGCTGCTATACCAAGTATAAATTAATAATTAATTTGCCGTGTTTTTATGTACTTAAAGTCGGCTGTATGTTGATCGCCATTGGTAAGACCGCTTTTAATACTATTGAATAATAGTTACGCATTACAATCATTCGTGCGATTTCTCAAAAAGATCATCGTACTTTCAGCATTTAAAAATCTTCCATACGTCACACCATGCAACTGTGACGAGGTTTGAGGATAGTTGCTCATTGAGAATGTCGAGCTTTCCAAACTGAGGGTCATAAGTTGTTTCCTAACTGTCGTTAGCAATCTTTGTTAAAAGTACAAGCTTCAATGGAGTGCAATAAGTGAGACAACATTTTTCACAGTTAATTTTAAAATGTTTACCCGCAGCGTAATTTACGAGCGATATTAACTGTTTAAACTTGAGAAGTTGCACATTTGGTCTTCCATCAAATCTTTTTTGATAGATAGATCCGTGGTTGTGAAGTTGTACGGCACCGTATTCAACTCGAAACTTTAATCGTCACGCTTCCTTTCGAGACGAGATACTTTTTATTGTCGCACTAGCTTTTGTGGCTTTCGCGTGTCCGACACAACGAAGCAGCAGATCGCACGCAGATCGAGATAATAACGACCGAGGCGTAAGAGTAGTATTTTTTACGAGACGCGTGTGTGGTGGGCTCCGGTTAGCGCGACGTCACATCCGAAGAAGACTGTGTTTCGCCGTACCTCACTGGGAACGGAATCGTCCCTTTTGTATTTATGTATAAGATGCAACATTCCACCCACCGATTTAGCCTAGTTACTTATCGTACAGATTTTATATATCACGACTGCGTATGATTTCGACTAGTACACGTTTACGGGCTACGCGTTCGATGTTTTTCCTGTTTCTCTATTAAACTCTCCGGGGCGTTAACGACAAGGATGTGGAGCACGCGTGTTACAAGCCGGTTAATATTGTGCCATATTATTTTCTTGTAACTGATATATCACAAAAACATATAAAAGATGCTTCAAAATGGAGTATTCTATTATATTACTCTTACCTGATTCCCAATGCGCTTGTCCTCCTGTCGCAATGGTGATCTTCTTGAAGTTGGAGAAGAAAAAATGGAGGAAGATAATAAAACAAATTATAAGAAAAAAAGATTAGGACAAAAAAGCTATTGCTTATATTATTATCGTTAGGCATTGCACATTTTTTTGTTAATTTTTGTTTTTTATATGAATTTTGCATAAAACATGATTATATATAATGGAAGAATTTTTTAATCAAAATGCAATGTAATTATGTGTGTGTGTGCTGTGTGCGTCGAGTTTCAGGATGCAAGAACGATTGAAGACGAGCCGATGAAATTTATGGAAAATTATTTATTCTAATTAACTATTACATATAAAATCAATCGATAAGAAAATGATAAGAAAATAATCTCTTACGAACTATACATACTACACATATAAAAAAAAAGATAAAAATCACAAGTTCAACTTATCTATGCGAAACTCGCAATCATTCCTCGCGGAATTAGTGACAAAGGATTTCTCTTCGTCAATCTCACCAAGCAGATTCAGTTCGTCGATACGCGTCATGAAAGATTGAGGTATAATACCGCTATCCGATGTGTCAGGCCTTCGGACTTCGATAGGAGGTCGATTGACATCGCAATTTGCAGTCTCTCGTACAACGCCGACGATCGGTGGCAATAAATCGTCTAAAAAAAATTCAGAACGACTGAACGTAAAATTGCTGATACAATAATAATAAAATAATAGCATTATCGAGCGCAGGAAAAAATAAAATACAGAAAAATCAGTCACTGATATAGAAATCGAGGACTTGTACACGAGACGGAGAGAACAAAGCGATAGCAAAGTGTTGCTACGGTAACAAAATCGAGCGTCGATCGCGATAAGGCCACTCACCGGTCTCCTCGGTGTTTTTCGTCACGTTCGCGGTCTCGTCCTCGGATATCTTTGCCGTGGCGAATTTGATGCTTTCCAGCAGCTCCTGGTCTGTCGACGGGAAGAATCGCAGACAGACGATACCGTGGATCGTCTTCACGAGCTTCGTCAGGTCCTTGGGTATGCAAAACTTCCTGAAGAGCCGCGCCTCCTCCGGCAAATGCTCCGACTTGCAGTACGGCAGGTGTATCGCGTAATACCTCTTGTTTCTCCGCGGATAGTTCTCCTTCAACAGTCGCAACAGGTGGTTGTCTACGTTTCGATAAATGATCGTCGCGTCGATTTTCGCGGACGTCGACGGCGGAGACGTCACGACCAGGACAACGTCCGCGGTCTGAAACGCGGTGTTGCACCAGAGTCCCGGGTCCTGCGATCACGTTACATGATTATTTCGCTGAATCTTCCCGCTGAGAACTGTCGCGTCCGTAAAAATTATTATTAAATAAATCGATGAAACTCGCATTATCGAATTGTGAATCTCTATCTCTTTGAAAGAAATTGTCGTAATATTACATCGTCAATTTATTTCATCACTCACTTTGCTGACGGTTTGTGCGATGTCGAACATGTCGATCATGGCATTGATATTACAGTATCGTAAGTACTTTGCTAACTCCGCCATTACGTTCACGTGCGACGGATGCGTCGGTGAGTACACCAGTAAGCAGTTCGGCTTTATCGCCATTCTCTTCAAAACTGTATTGAAAAAAAAAAAAATGATTTATCAAAGCGAACTAGAGTCCCTCTAATCAAAGTCTGGCCATACAGTAGCAACTTTTGATTGGTTCGGCATTTCTTGCAAAGAGAAACAGAAAGAGAAAGAGACATAAAAGAGAAAGAGAAAGCGATATGAATGTATATCGCTTATATATCGCTTTCTCTTTCTCTCTTGTATCCTTCTCTCTCACAGAATTTTGCCAGAACTGCAAGTTGGCCAGACTCTGATTAGAGGGACTCTAAAAGCGAACGAGTCAGACATATTCACGAGAGGAAAAAAGAATCTCACCGCTTTTTTTGTACAGCTTGAACGCGTGGTACAGCGCGTACAATATTGTAGGTGGTATCCATATTAAGCTGATTATCATAATCAGCAGTCGATGAGACGCGTGTTCTGTGAGAATACGTTAATTAGCGGCGTTGGAAGTAAGAGTCAGAAATGAAAAACGAAAGAAAAAAAAGAAAATTTCGAGTTAAATCGCATTTACTTATGTATATACAGGGCGACGTGCTGTTCGCGCATCCATGCTCGCCGCACTCGGGATGCAGGGCAGTGACTTTGACGTAATAGATGCCGTCCGGTGCCGAGAAGTTGTGTCGCACGTGCTCGTGGTCCTTGCTCGCGGACACGATCACGGTAACGATCGTCGACTTCGTGTCGTTGTTAATCAGCCACGCCTTGTACTGCGTCACGTTGTACTTCGACGGGAGCGGTTGTATGTACAACGCCGGATCCGACGGATCCGACACGTCAATGTATACGAAAGGCGTGAACGTTTTGACCTGGACATCATCGTCTGGAAGAGATTCGCGGTCAGAGATTTACGCGAACGCGATCGCGCAAAGCCGAAAGGAAACGGAAAGGAAAAGAGACAAATAAGAGACCTACTAATAAATTCGTGCTGCGGCACGTGGAATACGTATTTTCTGCTGTACGCGTAATGTTTTCCGATCGCGAGATACTCCAAGCGATACGAGGATCCTTCGTACGCAGCACCGGAGAAGGGGCACGACACGTACAAGTCTTTGGGAGCGGGATGGCTGGCGTTCCCGTACAGCTCGATGTGCCTGCACGCGTTCTCGTCGTCGTCGTCGATGTTTTGATAACGCGTGATTAATCCTGATTTACAAAGATTACAAAAGATTACAAGATCTTAATGTATACAGCAACGAGGAGGTATTAAAAATATATATTTATATCGAGCGGGTTAAATATATCTCGATAGAGCAGTTGATGTCTCCTTACTGTGAAAATTAATATCCGAGACTGATAAATTGAACGCAGTCGCCTTTTCTTTATCGAAGTTTTTCACATACGCGTACAACGTGAAAATTGCAGCGTCATTCCGCATGGATGATGGCTTTCCGGCATCCACAAATCTTAGCTTTGCGCAACCTAGAAAGTCGTGAGGTATATTTAACGAATCTGAGAGAGATATTCTTCCAAATTATTATGGATTATCGTTTCCTACCTTCTCCCCTTTGTACTGCTGTTAGTACACATTGGGAATCCGGTGATGGTCCCAAGTAAGTCTAAAAAAAAAGAAGAAATAAATTTACTCTGGATATAAAGTCTTGTAATTTTCTGCAAACGATATTGGTAATTATAGTCAATTCGAGGTGAAAATAAAGATTAAATATGACACAGCTATACTTTTAAGCTGTACTTTTGTTTCAGCTTTTATCGTCGATCACTTACATAATGCAAAAAGTAGCGTTTTGTTATTTATCGATTCTTATTATCTACCTGCTCACAATCATGAGTAAATTAATAATTGATTATCAACGTTAGTCATATCTATATGAATAATAGCCATTTTCACAGAAGTTATACAAGGTGGTCTTCTACTCGCCCATTAATTTTTTTATCGGCGGAAGAGATTAATTTGGAATTAGCCTTTTTGCGAAAAAAGATCTCTTTTGTGACAAACATTAAATAACAATTTTATTAAAAACTTTACCTAAAAATTAACTGACAAATATAATTTTGACTCCGTAATATTTAATCTGTAAAAAAAAAAAACTTTTGAGAATATAAGATTTTTAAATTTATTTTCTATTGTTATTGTCGCTGAAGATGGCCTGAAGTGGAGCCGAAACATTCGGTTTTGTAATTCATCCTATATTATACATATCATTAAAAAAAGAACAACATACACCCACAACACGCGCTAACAACCGCGTCACTGCCCTTTATTAATTCAAGTTTTGTATTCTATAATTAAGTCTTTCTAAAAAAAATTCAATTTAAAAGACTTTTGGTCTTTCTCTCTTTTATAACTCGAAAATTATTAGCATCTCGATATTTTGAAGGAAAATTACCTCTAAATTTAAAAAACCATTGTTAAAAGATAAGAAAAAGGACACCCTGTATATAACATTGTTATATTGACACACAAAGTGGTACTTTGCTCCAAAGATAACACCACCCTGACGACACATCTGAGCAATTCTAGTTATAAAAACGATAAAAAAAAAGGCTTGTATCTTCGATCTAATTTTTATCTGGAATTAATGTCATTGATAATTAGAGAGTTAATATAATTATTAATAAATCAATTTATCTGCGAGTTGACGTGCAAAGAAAGCACGTGATCCTCGAGACATCCAGTGTCCACGGCCGATGTGATACTTCGGAGAAACCTCTGGGAACCGACGGCTGGAGTAAGTCATGTACTTACCAGATTCTGCAACAGACAGTAGTCTGGATAACAATGCGAGGCCCAGACGTATCCAGTCAAGGAACACAGGACGACCGCGGCGGCGAGGAAGCCGTTGTTTACCGTCTCACGCATTTCTTTTGGGTTATTGCCCGCTCGATCGACGATGCGCAACAATTCGGTGGACGGCACGTGTCACCGACCTCGACATGTCAACCGCGCGACGGAATCGCGACAACGACGGTAATTCGGATGTTCGTCGCGGCACCGATTACCATCCCAAAGTTTCCGGACACGCACGCGACTCGCACGTCGAACGACGCAAAATACCGTACGTGAGCGTACGTGACTAACGTGACCGCGGAACGGCGTCAACCGCGTCAACAACAATCACTTTCTGTCGGACGCGAGGTCGCGAGCTACTGCGCGTCGACGCGAGGAAGGCTCTGCTGGAAATGCCAGGTACTGCTTGCATCGCGTGTCGTCGACAAGAACGGACTCTACAAGACGGGTCATCGATGACTCGGAGTCATCCAGCGACTCGCTTCGTCGAATGGTTATGATTCAAAAAAGGAGAGATAATGGAACAACGTATAGCGCGATAATATATCGAATATATCGATACTTCTTTTCAATTTTGGAATAAGTTATGTATTTTTAGCACGCAAATCGCTATACAGATTATAAAAGCGCGAACAGAAACCTAATTCCTGAAAGGAAGATAAATTTCCTGACATTGATAAGATAAAGAGCAAAAGTGTGTTAAAACGATATCGATTTTCAATGCGGAAATTAAACGTGAGATGTAATTGAAGTAAAACAAGAGAAAAAGAGAAAAGTATAATTTTTTATTTTTGCAGAATAAGTATGAAATGTTCGTTCAATTATTCGTTCAAAACAATAAAGTTATCGTTTAAAGCAATAAACGTGTACGTTGTTGCGGTACACGTACTCTACCGGCAGGAATGCCTGGACATAATGCATATTATATATGTACATATGTATATGTCATAAACATATCAAAATGTCCAGGCATTTCTGCCGGTCAGTGCTACATTGAAAAATAATATGATTTATTTGTCTTCTCCGGAAATACTTTCATAAATCATTTATGCGGATATCAGATCTCAAATAGGATAAGATTTGCAATCTTATCGCGAGCTATGTCACTATGAACACGAATTACTTATAATCATAACGTATACGATATGATGCAATTTTAAATATTACAATAACGTTCTTATAAATTATTCAATATAATACATCAATTTGTGATTAAATTTGACGATTCACAAATTCGATCATTTACAACAAAAATTTCATGTTCTATTCCTTCAAAGTACCGGTATACCGGTACCATCTTATGCGGTGATTATTGTTGTGGGCTCACTAAAAAAAAAGTCCGATGCTCATGCGGTCACAGTGAAAGATGCAGAGGAATGATCGGTGGGGTGACCACAGCTGAGATTTATAACGCGGAAAAATCTTTCTCGAAGAAAGTTTGAAATCTTTCCAGAGAAGTCTTCCAGGATACGATGTTCTTGAAGAGAGAGAGAGAGAGAGAGAGAGAGAAAAAAGAGAGAGAGAGAGATCCTACGAAGCCGGCTCCGGAGACAAAGAAATTCGACTCTTGGACTTGCGAGCGCGCGGATATGCGAACGAATTAACATTGAGGAGAACTGTAATTCTGGACTTATAATAAATCGAGCTGTTGCTAATAGACTGAATTTAAACTTAATTCCCGACTCGCTGTAATATTCCTTCACGCACACATCCCGACTGCGAACAAAATATAAAATGTCTTCGAAATGTATTTGTCATCATCGTCTTCTATTACGGGAAGATGTGAACAGAACGTGTTGCATGAAAAATAGAGTATATGAACGAAAACGAATATTGTGTACCAAAGGGTTTGTGATTAATTTTTGAATATTGTTCTTCAAAATATAACTTTATTATATATGATTGAATTTATAATAAAATTATCTTCGATTTAATGATAAAAAATTTAAAATATTGATAAAAAATACTAAGTGATCGGGATATTTCGAAAAATATAGTAATATAAAAATTTTTTCTTGTTGTTTTAAAATAGGTACTCTTAAAACCATTCAACTTTTAAATTTAAAAAATGTTCTATCTTTCAAATATGGTAAAATAATGCAATAGAAAAAAGTTGCTTATACAGAATTATAAAGCCATATACACACACAAAACTATATAATAATAAAAAAAATAATAGATATAACTACAAAAACATGAAAAATACGTAAAACTTACGAAAAAGATTTAGCTTGTCACCCAAAATTTCCAAAATGTGGCCTCAAACAGTCATTTTTCGCGCGATCTGCTAACTAATTGAGAAGCCGAAAAGGAATTTAAATGCGAGTCGTTGAATATCAACAGCAATGTCACATTTACGAAATATCGCAATGGTTTGTAGTGTACTACTGGTTCATTGTTGGACTACCTACCCTATACTAAATAAATTCTCTTTTCTTTTTATTGTAAGAATTGTAATGTATCGAAATATAGCAATTGACTTGTGGAATTTTAACATTTCTGAAAAAATTGTCGAGACAATTCTGAAATACTTTGTCTACTCTCTATCTTTTGAATTTCGAGATACGGTGCTATTTCGATATGTTCACTTTGGTCTATAATTTTTCCGGATACATTGTCCCATTTTTCATATTTCAAGATTATGACTTTTCAAGACATTGTCTCATTTCTAAGATTTTGAGATTATGACTTTTCGGCACATTGTCGTAGTTTTCAATTTTCGTGATTTTGATTTTTCGAAACTTTGCATGTCCACCCAAATTCATCTTTCAGTATAATATTTGTGCTCCAATAGGACAAGTATACAAATACAAAACATTCATGCTTCATGTTTGTTCCGCACCTATTTGCATTTTTATGAATTTTGTGCTTATGTCACCTACAAATATTTATTATTCACGCACATTTTGAGTGAATATGTTTACAGCTAAATATAAATAACCGTGTAAAACTCTAAAATCAGATAGAATCGTTAAAGGATCAAGCCGTTTGATTCAAGCGGTACGGTAGTACCTACCGCGATACCAAGTACCTAGGTACATAAAAAAATGTGACTCACCCAGATCAAGTGACCGAACTTTTATGTTCACTATGGCTATGCTTATGCTATCACCACTCGATATTACTATAACAAAGGAACACTACGCGCTGCTTTTCGCCGATTTTGATGAAACTTGCAGGAGCTGTCGGAGATACTATGTAATGAATAAACCTGTAAAGCCGACATTATAAAGCCAATTATATATATACAGGGTGTCCGAAAAATCGCCTACTCCACTTCGGGAGGTGATTCGGGACCCAAAAACAAGCAAAAAAATTCATATGTATATGTGTTTTAAGTCCGATAAAGTCCATATTGGCACGCAGTTTAAAAAACTGAAAAATATATTTAATAAATTGATATTGTGAAATATTATTAAGCACCCAGATCCACTTCGACCAAAAACGGCATCTCATTGCTTGTGTTATTTTAAATTTTTCTTTTTTTCTAATTTTGCATAAGACACTTAATCTTTTTTAATTGACATATTAATTTTTATCAAATATTTTTATAAACAATGAAATTTTACTTTTGTGAAAAAACTGTTATATAATATATATTATAGTTCTTATAAATAAATATATTAATCGTATTATTTTGCAAACATAATATCTTATAATTTAAACTAAAAATCATATATGAACTTATATAGTCATATAAGATTATATATGATCAGATCAGATATTGCATCTCAAAGTATCTGATAGATGGCATTCGATGGGATCTGTTTCTCGTACTTAAAATTTGACCAACAGTGTTATAAGAATGGTATCAAAAGACACGACACTGTCTCGCGCTATGAAGCGGCACAATTTTTGTATCAGTTGTATCGTGGTCATCGTGGAGTCCACTTTTATAATAAAGTACGTGGCACACTTAAAAAATAACTTTTGAAAATATATAACAATGTTCTGAAACTTACTTAAATATATATGTCCAGATTGAACTGTGTCAGTTCGTATCTGATCATACCTGATCAGATATTAACATATACAATAATACCAGATCACATATCCTCAGATCTGGCCAATTTCCATATCTGACCATATATGGCCAATCATATATTAATAGTGTAATAGTAATAGCATAATCTATCCATCCATCCATCCATATCTAAAAAAGAAATGTAAAGTCGATACTCGAATCTATCGAAATTTATTGTTATCGCTTTTCCGCGATGTCGGTTGGTTCTCTCGCTGCGCTTACTTCATTTGCAGCTGTCATTGTATATTTTTAAAGCTATTATAAATAGCGCGCGCCAAGCGCGCGTCTGTGGTTATATAAAATCTGCGTATCTAATATGTTTAAAATGAATATATTAGAGTATATTAGAACGTTTAGATGAATATCATTAAATTGACAGGCGCGGCGTGACGGAAAACAATAGTTATGGCATATAAAAAATCAGCGATTATTAATCATAATCCTTGACTATTCGATGCAATACGTTTTTATATTAAGATAATTCCTCTATTTACGTCGCACAAGGATTAACGCGCAATTACTTTATTATGTGCCTTTAGAGTAACTCCGCGCGATATATACGCCGCACCTAAGGAAAACTTTTCCCAGGTAGCACATATTAGTTTCATGTATGTTTTTTGAACGTACATATAGTTTTATAACCGTAAAGAAATATTAAAAAACGTTTGAACAAAAAAGCTCTAAAAAGCATGAAAAAATTAAAAAAAAATAAAAAATAAAAGAAACTCTAAAAAATATGAAATAATACTTTTAAGAATTCTTTTCAATTTTTTTAAGTCGGCGCCAAATTAATAATTATTAAATTAATTTAGTGCCAACTTCAAAAATTGAAAAAAATTCTTAAAAGTATTATTAATTTAGTGCCGACTTCAAATCATTAGAAATTTAGTTTACCCGTTTATTTATTGTTTATTATAAATAAATCACTATTTCTTTAGTTAGAGGTTAGTTTATTTTATAATAATGAGTATTTAACCAATTGTGGCAAAAATATAGGTTAAGACAAAAGTATCAATCTGTTACTTTTGACTCGAAAGTAATATTTGTTATTGGTGTTGATTTTTATTTATTTTGTAACGATGCGCTCCGAAACGCATTCCCGGCGAGCATCAGCCGGATGCCGCCCGGCCGAACACTCGCCGGGCGAGACAAGGCACGGTGTGCTCTTTTTTATAATGACACTATTTCGCGTATAATACATGTATTTTTAAAATAAAAATTTTCTTATTATTATTTTAAAATGCCAAACATACAAAAAAAACAAATAAAGGTTTAGCAACGTCTGTTTAAAATAATTTAAAATGTCTAGAACTATTTAAAAAAAAATTTTTTTAAATAAAACGTTTTGTGCTACATTGATTATATGTTTGTTTTTATTTTATTTTACCTTATTAAAATCAGCCTTGAACTCTGTTACAACCAGCCCTAGGGGTAGGGACAATCGTAACAAATTCGATCTTCATAAAACTTGATTTTTCTAAGTAATTATAAAATGTGAATGAATTTTATTCATATACCATAGGCTACGGTCAACGTGACGCTACAAATGCTTCGAAGCATTCCTCTTCTCTTTTCTTTCAATGAAGAAAGAAAGAGAAGAAGAACGCTCCAAAGCATTTGTAGCGTTGACCGTAGCCATAATGTAAGTAAAGAATGTATTTACCTTATGAAAGAGAAAAAGTATATATATACATATATATATATATATATATATATATATATATATATATATATATATGTATATATATATATGTATATAAACAAGTAAATCGAAGATATTAATTCAAATTAGCAAAATGTTACGTTTGTCCCTTCCCTACTATAAAAAAATTACAATAAAAAAAATTTGTTTTTTGTATTTAACAAAAAAAAACTTTTAGAAACCCTTGCATTTTTGTCATATATTATATGCGGCTGGAATATGTCTAGAGGAAAGTCCCCTATTATGAGATACAACATCTATTTTGCGTGATTGCCCGAAGTTTATGGGCAGAATTGAAAAATGTAGTAGGCGAGTGCACGCACGATCAAATAATGAATTTTCCACTAAATAGGTTTTACTCTAGATGGAACCAACAGATAGAACCTATTAGTTTAGCAGAAACCTCGCTATCGCATATTAGGAGCTTATCTCATAATAGGGGACTTTCCTCTACGTTCAAAAGACGTATATGAAACTAATATGTGCTACCTTGGAATTACAGAGAGGTGTTGAATAAGGTTATACGATTACACCTTCCACAGAAAATATAATGGAAAAGAGGGGATTATTACAACAACTATAAAAGGAGGCAATAAATGTAACGGCGTACTCAGTCCACCAAATACCATCCACTGAATCGAGGATTTGAAGAGATCGTAATTAGAGATTTCAAAATCAGTTTTGAACTAATTTGTAAGTATAATTTCTTTTAATATAAAATTTGATTAGTTACATTCACAACCATACCTCAAACTCGATAGAACAATTGTTCGCGACCGAACAAAAACCAGCGTCGGAGTATCAATATCGCGAGTCAAAGAAAATCGCGACTTTTAAATAATTTCGGTTTCTCTGCCTTTCAGTGTAAACTCGGCTAAATTCTGTGTAAGCATAGATTCCTTCGAAGAAATAGCCGTATATTTCCTGGTATACACTTGAAGGGCAGAAAAACAGAGTCCCATTGTGGCCTATATTTACTCGCTTCTTTGTCTCGGGGACTCGGTGCGCGAGGCAAACCCCGGGACAAAGGGAGCAAATGATATTTCAAAACAGCTGATCGGTGGCCGGAATCTGATTTACACGTTCTTGGGATATTTTTGCTTGAAAATAACAATAAAAATAAATTAATAAAAATTAAATATTATTAATAATAAATGAAACATGCAGCTATAACAAATACTTACGTTCTTGTGATAATTTTGTCTAAAAATACAAAAAATTTGATTAATGAAAATTGAATACCTGTTATTAATAAATAATATTAATAATAAATGAAACATGCAGGTATAAAAAATACTGCATTAAATATGTCAGACAAAAATATCAAAAAAGATTTTTAATTTTTTTCGAATTGCACCATTTTTCGTTATAAACTAATTTAATTTTGATGTTCACTAACCGAAGGCTAATTAAAATTTAAAAAAAATTAAGCAGCTGTCTTCTGAATTATCAAAAGAGAAAAATTATATGTAAAAAGAAAAAGAAAAATAACAATTTAATGAATGACAATTTAATTATATTATACGATTAAGATTATCAATTTTTTAACAAAAATAATTTTTTATAAAATTAGAATATTAACAAAAACGAAGAATATTAAATTAAGAAAAATCAAATTGTATACATTATTTATTTATTGTAATATAAAAATAAAAAATAATTTTTTATAAAATTAGAATTAGAATATTAGCAAAAACGAAGAATATTAAATTAAGAAAAATCAAATTTTTTGTATACATTACTTATTTAATATAAATATGCATTGCCATTGTTTTACTAGATTGCACGTTCACAGTCTTTGGTTTATTTAAAAAATTATATTTATTAAAGATGATCTTAATTTAAACAGACAGTATCTAACAATCAATTTATTTTTTAAGTTGTGACAATTAGGAATAAAGTAAGAGAGTTTCTGAATTTGAGATATAAAGTATTGTTTAGCATTTAGAGTTGAATCTGATAAGTGATAAGACTCTCTGCAAGTGGTTTCTAAAAATTTGTTCCATTGCTAGAAAAAATTTAAATGAAATTTTATTAATAAAATATAATGACTCGGCGTTGCTAATACGTTTTAAACGTGTTAATTTGGCATAAATATATCTTGTACTTTTTTTTATCTCACTGCTTGTACGCATATTGCACAATATTTTTCTCTTCTTACGATGCATTGTAATATATGTATATAACATAAAATATTTTGTTCAATATTGTTAAGTTAAATTGTTACATTGATAGTTGGTGTAGAATCTTGTATAATAATACTTTTACTTTGATTACTATTTAAATTTGTGTTATTATTATTACTATTGTTATTATGCTTATTATAATTACCATTAATATTATTATTATTAATGATATTACAGTTATTTTCCTTATTGCCGTCCTCTTCTTCTTCCTTCTTTTCATCATTAGTTCTAGTCTTTTTTGTATTTCTTTTTTCTAAAATTTCTAAAAACTCTGATAAAAAAGTTCGATCATCTTCCTCATAATTGCCGTGGCTTACATTTGCCATATATTGTGATTTTGTGATTAACTTTAAATCATTTAAATTGAATGAAATTTGGTGTAGGATGTTTTTGCCGTACAATGCAAAAAACATTTTCTAAGCAATCTTGGCTGAATCTCGAACTCATAACAAAATCAAAACCCTTATTCAGTAAATATTCTGATACTTGAATATATGACTTAGTGGATATCACAGCTGATGTTTGAAATGGTTTCCAACTTTGATTCTTTCCAACTTTTAATTCAGAAAAAAAAGTTACAGCTTTTTTGAGAAATGTTATGGTTTTATTATACTCCTTTATATTTTTTTTCTTTCAAAGCAAAGAAAGGATGGCGCGCAGTCATTATTTGAAACCAATGAACAATATATTTTACAAACCACGACGTAGACTTATATAAAACTTTGTTTTTTCTTCAGCTAAAAAATTTAATGCTGAGCTAACATCATAATTCAATACGTTAGATGCGCTACTAACTCGCATCTTTAAGAAATGATTTTTTGTATTTAAGTATTCTTCACGAAGCTTTGGAGTCTAATGCAGACTGATTGACTTGTCGCGGTAGCTACAACTCCCGCTATTTGTTAACGAAAATGCAAGATTCGTTCGATTGGTGGATCCTAGATCCGCCCGCTGATTCGCTCGTATCCACCAATCAATTTATTTGTCAAATCACGATAACTAGTTTTGGTGGAAAGAAGACGGAGATAGCAGAAGCCACTGATCCGATATCACAGGCACCGAAGACGCCTGGGACCGTATTCTCGAGCCTGCCCTAATGATTTTCGTATACGACTTTCTATTTGAAAAGCATTGAATTTCGCATGCGAGTTTCATGAAAACGATTCAAGAATAGGGCCCCTGAAGTTATGCCGCCTCGTGGTTGTGTAAATATATGAGTGTGCGTGTGTCTGACAATGAGTCGCTGACCCTTTTTTATGTATTTATTTCTTATGGCCTACGTCGTGCAGACTTTCGCTTATTTGCGACGCAACAAACTGTTTGAAACATTTTTTGATATCTCGAATACTTTCCGAAATATATCGAGAAAAGCAAAAAGCCGCTCTACATATAAAGCATAAAGGGTGATTTCAACCTTTAGAACCTTTAGAACCCTTTAGAACCGTTTTTAAGCAGCAACAAAAAATTTTTAAATTTATCTTTTTACCCTTTCTACATATGTGAAAAGTTTTATAATAAGAACACCTACGTGTATGTGTATATTTAACCGCAACAAATAATTTTTTCAAAAATTTATTTATTTTTACATTTTTTTAATATAAAAAAATATCTGTTGCGTTATTTAATATTATAAAATTGTAAAATAAAGATACTTTTATCGTTGTTGGAACTTGAAACTAAAGATATTTTCAAATCAAGAATATTATTTCTCTCTCTCTCTCTCTCTCTCTCTGTACTTTAAAAAACAATATAATAATCAAACTTACAAGTTTACAATAAATTTATGTTTTGTTCTTGTGTTACAGTTGCGTTATCCATAAAACATGATGAATACCAATAATATTCAGCACGATATAAAATCTAGTTCGAAAAACTTGGACGAATATGGACTTGTAATGATATTTAAAGACGTATTCGGAGTAAATTCTCAAAATAAATTTCCAAATAATTTCGATGCCTGGACCGTAAAAAAGCAATGCGACTGGATAAAAACAAACATAGCAGAATTCTTTCCAAACATGCCGCAGTCTTTACACAGCGTTATTCCAGCGTTCTTTTGCCAATTAAATGATGACCGAACCTTGGAAAAGTTACCTGAATGGATGGATATGGATAAATATCGCAGGGGACAAAAATTTGTCCAGAAAAATTACACCGCGATAATCTTATCCAAAATAATGGGCCTGATGTATATTTATACATTTCAAGGAGAACTAGGGCCAATTATTTTGGGAGAACATAGCCATACGCCGTATTTAGGATTCGGAAAGTAAATATCTTTCTAAAATATTGTATTTATATATAAACATTCCTGGTGGAAAATTATCTTAAAATTTTTCATGTTATTAATTAATTAGAATTTCTATAAAAATTTTCAAATTTTCTCAGAATACTAAATTTTCTAGATTTTTTTATACGAATTGGAACGTTTTCAGAAAAACTCACAATCAGATAAAATAAAAATAATCGAATAAGATACAAGCCATTTTCGGTCTAAGCTTAGATCTTAGGCAGCTCAATATTAATTTTTTCCATATATATATATATTATTAATAATACATCTATATTCCAACTTTTTACTGCGCGCCAATCACAGCCGGACTTGAAACGCAGCTATTGTTGGAACATTAAACACCCTTCACTTCCCACAATTAAATCGACGCTATTTAATTACTTAAAAACTGTAAAGAATTTATTGCAAAAAATGTTACCTCAGCCAGGATTCGAACCTGGAATCTCCCTCAAAATAAAAATAATATATTTTTCGTTAATATATTTTTGTAGAAATCTGAATAAATATGAGAAAATCTGTAAAATTTATTATAAATTTTCATACATACGGATACTGAAATATTCCGAAAATCTTTATCCAATTATTTCTGCAAGTATTTGAAAAATTTCATATATAATCAGTCAAAAAGTTCGTCGATTAACAATGATTCGACGTCGAATACGTCGATCAATTCAACTTAACCAGCTGTCAACCTCTTCAACGTCAAATTAACGTCACCTTTCTAACTGGGATAGGTATTTTTTCAGAATTTTTTATAAGTTCGAATCCTTGCAAAATTTCTGAGAAAATATGAGAAATATGTGAAAATATGAGAAAAATATGAGAAATTTTTTGCCAGAAATATAAGTAATAAGTACTTTATACATTTTCATAAATAAATTTTATACATTTCAAAGGTACATAGCGTCTGTAAAATCGATGTTCAGCTGGTATGATGGAGAACCGTGGATTAAAGGAACAGAAGCATATAAAAATATGCAAGTAGTACGTGGTAAGCATGTGGCGATAAGGAGAAAGGTGCGTCAGATGGATAATGAGCAAATTGCTGCTGCGTGCACATTCGCCAATCCATGGTGTCTAGATCGTGAATTGCTTCTGAAGGATTTCGCTGCAATTTCTTCACCTGAGAAATTTGGACAGCGTCATACAATCCTCAACAAATCACCATACAAACCGAAAGGTATAAATAACGCCGACTTCTCATTTGCTCAGTGCTGTTTCGTAGTTGCACCTTTGCTCTATCCACAAAATATTGGAATACACGACCCGACCGACGAAGACTTGGAGGCTTTCTGCTATATGTGGAAATGTTATGGATATTTTCTTGGAATGGAAGATGAGTATGTATAGTACAATTATAATATATACTGTGTACTGTGTTATAATCACATGTATATTAGGTTGGGGAGAAAGTAATCTGGATTTTTTCGTGTAAAATATCTATTAAGAAAAAATAGTTGCAACGTTCTTTTTTTAAATTAAACTAATTGCCGTTTGAATCTATAATTATTTTCTGCCATCTTTCAAGCAGAAGGATTTCGTGCCGATAACAAGCCAGCTCTTTGATCGCGAAGAATTCTTTGATTTATTTCTTGATTTCGGCCGCATTTCGAAAGCGTTGTCCTCTCAAGCCGTGCTGCATCGATCGAAATAGGTAATGATCTGAATAAGGCGCAATATCTGGTGAGTGGGCAGGGTGCGGAAGAATTTTCCAGCTCAAGTCTATAAAGGTGTTCATGGTGGTTGCAACGATATGAAGCTGAACGTTTCGCGTAGAAAGATGGTTTAAGGCAAACCTTAACCCTTAAATGCCACACCTCTCAAGAATCTCGTAAATGACATGAGGGGTCTAAAAGACCCCAGCATGAAAAATGTCTTCTTACTCATTGATTTTTTGATCTTTAGTTATGAAATTTTTTTTCAATGTCGTTCAAGGCTTAGAAAAGAGAATAAAATGCTTATATTGTTAAAATTTCAATTTCAACATAGTATAAAAAATTAAATAAACTGAGTACTGCTATAAGTGTACAACGGGTAGGTCAATCACTCAACTATCATCAATGGGAGCATGAGCTCCATATTTGGCAAAAACATTTGCAAATATATCATTGTAAAGGGTCTGGGGTCCGCTGGACCCCACGGGGCATTTAAGGGTTAAATCGGTTTTCAGACATATAACGGCCGTTTTTCGAGCAATATTGCGTCCAGACCTATGGTGTTGACTATTGATCTCACAATCAGCAGTACATGTGGCAATCTTTATCAAATTGAAATAAACACGTACATGATAGACAGGAAGATTTGCCTTGCAGTAATTTTAATGTAGAATAGGCAACCTCAAAGAAACAAAACAAAAGTTATTAACAAAAATTATTATCGTACGTTGTATTTGCCATATATCCGTGACCCGGATTACTTTTCTCCCTAATACAAACAATATTTCAAATACTCCCTAATAAAAAAAAAATCGATAGGAAACGATAGAAAACAATTGCATTATTTTTAATCATAGTTATGAATCGGAAGTTAACAAAAGAATTTCGTAACTGTACGATTGATTCTCTTTATAGCGTTTCCTGTATTCCTGTCGTAAGTATCCTATTAATATGTTATCGCTTCTTATCATTTCTTTTCGTAACTAATAACTGTGACTGTGAGTATACAAAATCCATCGTAAATTGATGATGAATGATGAGTCTCTTATCGTTTCCTGTCGTAATTATCTAATTTATTACGTTATTAAAGTATTGTATATTTAATTAAAATTATTTAAAATGTAAATGTTTTCTGCACTGTATGGTATCTGAAATAGGATCACTTAAGTTGACCTGCAGCGAAGGATATTAAGCAGTTCGCGTTACCAGCGCTCGCGGTCGCGTTCTCTCATTGTTTGTTGTAGTTGTACGATAAAAAACATTTTAAATTTTAAATCATCTATCGTTGAGATGCATGATTAATAATAATTATAGGTTTTTTTGTACGATAGAAAACTTAGAATTTCCATTATCAAGAGGCACGGTAGTGTCTCGCGCCAAGTACACGCGGAGCGAGACCGACCGTGACTCTTTTACGCGACGCGACGATTTGCGAGTACTCGAGATGTTGAGATCTCGATAACGAGTGAACGGATCAAGTTTTATAAATACACAATTGATTATGAAAGATTTTCAATCATTTCTTCTCGATAAATTCCAACAAAATGATAGAAATCTATCGTATTCCAACACAGTAAAAAACATTTTGTATTTGTGTTAAAATTTTCCTGTGTAGAAAGTTTTGTGTTAAATTTCTGACACAGTTGTATGTTAATTTAACATATCGTTGTTGTGTTACTTAACTTTTCCATGTTAAATTAATATTAACCATTTTTAAGAGTTAAAATAACACAATTTATATGTAAGTGTATATTCTTGGTGATATATTTTATATGTTAAAGTGAACAGATAAATTGTGTTATCTTCCTTTTTATAACAGTTACTATGTGTTAAATTGACATAATTCTTATGTTATTCATCAAAAAAAGATCAAAAATAAAAATATATACTTCTCTTAAATGTTAAAATAACATCTTATCTTAATTACATGTAACATTATACAGATGTCAATTTAACATAAACTTTGATTTCTGAAAGCGTCTAAATGTTAAATTTTTATGTTAATTTTGTACATATTATGTTTGTTATTTTTTTACATATTTGCTTTATGTTAAATTAACATGAAAATTTGAGTGGATAAATTGGGACATGTAAAATGTGTTAAATTTAACACAAAATTTTTTACTGCAGAATGATTGAATCCGTTTTCAACAAAGAACGAAAGAAAACGATAAAATTTCTTTCAGAATCTAAAACGTAAACGTTTATATAGGCTACGATAAAAAACGATAAGATTCTTTACAAATTGTATCGGTTTCTATCGTTTTCCAACAATTTTTTTTTATCAGGGTTACGTAACTTCAGCATTATATGTACATAAAACAATATGTTACATAAAACACATTATCTATGTATATAATATCAAAACTTTGAAGATGTTATAAATTGTATTATATATCCAGGTACAACTTTTGCCGTGGCAGCCTCGAGAAAATAAAACAACGAGTGAATGACCTTTTCCAATATTGGGTCATTCCAAATTTTAAGGAATTGTCACCAGAATGGGAGCACATAATCAGATGTCTTGTTGAGCACATAAATTACTGGCCTATAATATTTTATATGCCTTTTAAAGTGATGACATTAATCGCCACAGACACGTTAAATCTAAATATGCCTAATTTATACGCTTCACTTAATTACACAGAGTGGATTCTTTATAAGATCTACAAGTAAGTAATACATTTATCAAATTAATTAACAGAAAGATATAGAGAAAATTCATTAAAAATATTAGCTTTAATTCTATGTATTATAAAATTTGAATATTTTCAAAGATAACAAAGTTATTTTTTAAAAGTAACTAGTTACAGTTACTCGTTACCAAATCAAAAAAGTAACTAGTTACCTAACGGATAGTATTGTATTAGTAACTGATATAGTTATTGATTCTCAAAAGTAACTCGTTATCGTTACCATTACTTAAAAAGTAACGATTCGTTACTTTTTTCATTACTTTTTTAATATTACAATGAGGTTACAGACTAAAAAATTTACTTTTGTAATATTTTTTGTTAAAATATTAATAAAAGTAATAAAATTTTATATTTTAAATCGCAAGACCACAAAAAATTTAAAGAGAAATGTTTTAATGCTTAAAATGCAAATAAAAAATATTAAATTTATACATACAGCCAAATTTATACTTTTTTTTTACTCTTAATTTTATGTTCAAAAATTTTAACAGGAAAAAGCGCAACGGCGAGCGCTCGGCGTCAAAGCTGGTATTCATAAAATTTGTTTTTATAATACGGCTTTGTGATTGGTAACAACATGATCGAATATACGAAAATTGTGTCATAAATATAGATTCAAAATATAAAAAGTAACGATAAAAGTATGAACTGTTAAATTCGTTACCATTACTGAAAAAATGTAACTGCATTACCATTACAGTTACAAAAAGGAAAAAATAACGCCGTTACGAGTCCGTTACGAAAAAGAAGAAACTGTAACAGTAACGGCGTTACAAGTAACGCGTTACTTCCCAATCCTGAATATTTTATACATTCTACATTTCTGTAATTTTGATAATTTCAGATTTCTGTTCTACGCAACTAAATTTTCACCTATAAGAGATATTATTAATAGTATGATACGCAAGGGCATGAATGAAGCAGCGGACTACAGTGCGGAGAAACTACAAGAAATTCATGAAAAGTCGAAGAAAACTGTACCCGATTTTTCTATTACGTATTAATGGTTTGTTGTAAGCCGTGACATCATCCGGAAAAAATTCGGAAATCAGCTTGCCCCAATTTAGTAATCGGCCTGATTTTCGAACAACTTGACACTTCAAAATTTTGACACATTAAGGTGATCCTAAAGCTGTCCGTAATACCTACACTCGTTTTTAACAATATTTGCTTCGTATAAAAATTCTACAACTTGATGTTACAAAATGAGGGTGCAGGTCCATTCAGTAGGCATCAAGAAATATCATACCGTTTGTAGAATTAGGCTGAGACTCCAAACAAAAAAGTTAAACGAAAAGTACGATAATGTACTTACATTACGTTCACGTAACGTTCACGTCACGGAACACTCGAGTGTATATACATACGCTCACGTACAGATTTGATGTCCGTGGTATCGGGCTGAATTTTTTTTTAATCAATAATGTATCATTAAAGGAAGGTATTGAATTTGGCTTGATCGGTAAAAAGGGGTTCTTTCTCTTTATAAAATTTTAAATTTTTTAAGAAATGTCCATGGTTGCTCTAACTTCCGCCAATTTTAAGATATTGGGCTCAATTTTTTTCTAAGTGTAGAGTATCATTAACAGAAAGTTGGTATTTAATTGGGTGAGAATCGGTGAAAGGGTTCATTTTTTATATATTTAAATTTTGAATTTTTTGAGAAATTTGTGGTAGCTCTAACTTCCACAAATTTTGAGATATCGGCTTGTTTCTAATTTTATTATATTCTTCAGTCTTTTCTACCTTTCCACCTTTAAAATTTGATTGATTAGACCTAGCTTTATATGTAGTCTACATATATGTAGTATATATATATATATATATATATATAATAATCTTAGAATTTATTAAGTAATTATGTTTAACTCATTGATTAATTATGCAAAGTCAGTATAGTACTAGATATTATAGATACTTATTACCAGAGTTTTTATTTGCCATTTTTTATCTGGTTACAATCAATATTGCAACAATAACAGATTCGTTCGCGGATCAACTATATATATAATACACGATAATAAGGACAAACACCACTTACCTGAAAGTACAGAATTCCTGAGAGATGCTCAAAGAAGCCCGCAGCGAGTTAAATAGAAAAAATGTAAATTTGTTTATTGGTTTTAAAAAACCCAGTTATGTATTTTGGCACAATAAACATTCATAAATAAAAAAAAATTACCTTGTTTCTTTCTTTGTCCGCTCAGTCTCCCAAGCACTCGCATACATGTAATATGTCGCAATGAAGAATCCGTCATACGCGAAAATTTATTACGGAATTCGTAAGTTTTTCTTGATCGTCGCTTTCTTTCCTCATATCATTGTTGCTACAAATTAAGATTGGTCCGCAGCTGACCTTTATGGCCATGCGGGAACATGCTCGTGAACTCAGAAATCTGTATTAATTATGTGACGAGTCAATAGATGATATAGGTATTGCTCACTATTTAACGTCGTTAATTTAATATTTATCTCGATTCATTTATATTGTTTGTTTTTTTCTCGCTGTTCCTGTTTCAGTCAGTTCGCACTTGAAAAGGGCTCGAATCTTGAGCCGAAACGTTGTGCATTTTTGTATATATTGCGCCAGTTAATCGAAAAATAATTTGAATTGCAGAAAAAAAAATTAGATATTTATTAATTTAAATTACAAAAACATTTATTCAGATGAAGAACATATCTCATTATGAAGAATTACACTTCTGTGATAACAATCGCGTAGATATTAATACTCAAAGTTACGGAATAATAATTCTCATAAAACAATATTAATATTAATTACTTTCTAAGGAAATAAATTAAAGCAAAGATAAGGCTGTGATAGATTAGGTTTAAGAAGTTAGGTTAGCGTAAAAGAGTAGCTAGTGTACGCATGGTATAGATGGATGAGTGTGGATAAGATGTTTTAAATTGTAAACCAAGTCCCTTCCTGGGTAATTTTGTAAAGCTGAAGTAAATAAATTCTATCTATTAATTACTTTCTAATTGTCATTGTAGGAGTTAATTACCGAGTTATCTTACATTTTGAATTAACCTACGCTAATTTAGTACAATTCATCAATTAGTCAAAGAAATTATAGAAATACTGAGCGTCTCAGAAGTCAAACTGACCAATTCCATTTTTGTAATTTTCTTCATTTTACCAGAACACCATAGATTTTATAATTTCATCAATTCTTTCTAGTTTTTATTTTATAGAATTGTGATCATTTAGCTTCTAACAAATTTATTCAATTTACATAGCAAGTTTTAAAAGCATAATTAATAATTTGATAATATTTAACTATCACTTATAGTATAA